AACCAACAAGCATAATTCACCTGCAGGGAGACACTGGCGGCACCGGCCGACTCCCCAAAGATGGTGATGTTGTCTGGGTCACCCCCAAAGGCCTTGATGTTCCTCTTCACCCAGGCAATGGCCATGTGCTGGTCCTTGAGCCCGTAGTTCCCTGAGGGACAGACATCACCCACCAGTGAGCAGGGGCACAGCCAAGCTGTCCAGCTGGGTACCGGGACAGGGCCCCAGAGAGGGATCAGCTGTGGTACCTGGCAGGTTTTCATCCCCGGTGCTCAGGAAGCCCAGCGGCCCCAGGCGGTAGTTGACGGTCACCACGATGACGTTGCCCCGCACGGCAATCTCCTCCCCATCATACAGGTAGTTGTCCAGGAAATTGGCTCCCTGGCTGCCTCCGACCAGGAAGCCACCACCGTAGATATAAACCATCACAGGCAGCTTGGTAGAGACTGGCAGGAGAGGAACAGGAGCAGAGTGAGCCCCCACTGAGCTGGAAGGTGCTGCCCTTCCATCCCCTCACCCCCTCCCCGAGCATCATCACTCCTCCTGCCCTGGGCAGGAGCTGCCTTGATGCTCTGCAAGAAAATCATCGTTCTCCTCAAGAGCCTGACCCTTCCAACAGGGTGAAGGTGAGGGACAGTGTCTGACACGGTTCCCCCCTGTCCCCTGGAAATCTCTGCTCAGCACCTGCCCACTATGGAACACAACTGCTGAGAGAGGCTCCAGAGAACTGTGTCCAGAAAGGGCAGGTGGGAAAGTCCATCCCGAGTCCCTGCCAAGCACATACTCTGTCTCCTCCCTTGAGGGACCCAGATGTTGAGGTAGAGACAGTCCTCGCTCCCACGGACATCAGTCTGGGTCAGCTTCACCTGCATGCAGCGTTTTTTGAATTCTTTTGCCTTCAGAGTCCCTGAAAGGAAAGAGGGAAGACCAGTTAAGGGCATCAGCTCCATCCTCTGATTGCAAGGTGTCTGCTCACCCATCTGTTCCTCTTTGAGTCCAGTGTAGTGGCAGCAAAGCCTCCCCTGCCACTGTGCCTGGTCTGAGGGAGTGACAAACTGGGAGACTTTCCCTTGTGAACCAGCTCTGGACAGCCGAGGTATGGGGAGGGCAGGTGCAGGTGCCTTGCTTCAGTTTTCTTATTTTCTAGGGTTACTTGATTTTCTTGGGAACATTTAGACACTGACTCTTAGACCCTTCAGGAGACAAAGAGCTTTTTCTTGGCCTCACTAAGTGGATGAGAGCAGGCAAGAACATCTTTAGCTTGAGAAAAACAGACTAAAAGAGAGAGAAGCAAGAATAAAGACACAAACCAAAGGCATTCAAAAGATGGATCTTACCATCCCAGCCAGGATGAGGTTGGGGATCTTCCAGAGTCTTTGTAGGGGCGGCAAAGGGAATCCCTCTGAAGATGTCGATGTAGCTCCCAAGGAGTCCCAGTTTCTTACTCTCACCTTCCACAAATCCTCCCTCGGTAAGCACCACACCCAGCTACAGGTGGTACCATGGAGAAGAGAAAATCCATTGCTCTGTCCTTCAATACTCTGGCTTCCCACATTGCCACACACTCACATCCTGCCCTCCCTGTGCGTGCCCTTGGTCCCTTGTGGAAAGACCACAGATGCCACTGGAGCTGCAGGTGCCCTTTGGAGCAGACAGGCAGCAGCAATTCCCCCACAGTCCCAAAGACAAGTGGCAGAAGGAGAAAGCCTTCAGCCTCAGGGTGCAAACCCAGCCTTTGTACTTACGGTCGCAGCCCAGGCTACCCCGAGGTAGGAGCACAGGGCCAAGGCGAGGATGTGCCAGCGAGCCATGGCTAGGGCAGCCCTGAGGGGATAGTCCCAGCTGGAGAGCTGCGTTTATATAGCCAGGAGTGCAGCTGTGTGCCAATGTCATGGGCCAGGCTTGGCTCGGAGCTGAAGCAGGGCAGCCTCCACACCCTTGTCCTTCAGTAGCCTGAGGCCAGTCCATGGCTGATGGGCATGGCTGTGTGAGAGCCCTGCAGGTGCTGCTTGTGTGGGATGGAGGCCAAATCTCCTCAGATATCTTTTCTATTTTCCTCATGGCCATCCTGATCAGACTTTAGTTCTTGCACTCAGAGAGATCAGAGGGAATGCAATTTGTCTGTTATTCCTCCTCTCTGGTGTATTACCAGCTCATTTGGATGCTTGCTTCTCCCTTGGGAGCTTGTTGAGCTTCCTAGAGGAGTCATTAGCGAGTTATTATGAAAATGTAGACATTCATTTATTCACATCATTGGTGCACACTTTCTGCCTGGTCTGGACAGCAGCATCCAGTGGTTTGGTTGACATTTCTTCATCACAAAGATGACATTGTGTGGTTGACAGGTCCTGGTGAGGCCAACCAGGTTCTCACCCCTTAACCAGTAATTGTTATATCCCTCTATAATAAATAGGGAAGGGATCAGGTTTGCACTCTGTCTGTGGCTTACACAGACTTACAGCTGTCACTGGAACATGTGAAAATGAAGTTTGTGCTCCAGATCTCAGAAGAGAAGGGACTCAGACAAGTGACCAAGTTAACTTTGGTCCAACCTCTGCATCAAGGAGCAATGCAAAAGGAAAATGCCCTTAAGATACTTTTTTTCCTTTAAAAAGTGCCAGTGAAGGCCAACAGTGAGAAAATGAAAGATGTTTCTTGTGGGAGATCTCCCAGATTGTTCATCTGGCAAAGCCACTTGGGGCCAGGAGAGCACAGGAACACATGGCATCGATTCCTGGCAGAAAGCCAGGTTTGCTGCATCCCAGGATGAGTGGGGTGTGCTGGGAAGAGCAATGCTCTTCACCACATCCCCAGGTCCCCTCACCTCAAGTGGACTTTTGCTGGAGTGGCCACTGCCAGGCAGTTTCTTCCCGTGCCTCCTCTGTTGTGCCAGACCTAAAGGGATAAAGCAGAACAAGGCAGCAGCTTCAGCAGGTGAAGGTCTCCAGCCCATTTCCCCCCTGTTCCCGAGCTCTCCCTTTCCCATGGGGATCCAGCATGTGGGACATCTCTGGCACAGCTGAGCCCTGTGTCCCCCAACGCTGTGGGGTTTTTGAGTCAGGGTTGGTGGCATGTCTGTCTGTCAGCTGCTGCTCTTCCTTCTGCTCATCCCAGCAAGGTGGGAACTGGGTGTGTTCCTTCAGTGAGAGCTCTGGGATGGGGTAGAAACAGAACCAGCCCCAAACACCCAGGAGCCACTCCCCCCACAAGACCATAAGCCTGGCTTAGACATTGTGACTAATAATAAAATGTTTCCAGCCTGTAGGGTGCAGCAGTAGCACGTTTTGATGGAAACAAAGAATACCAATTTGGAAGGGATCTCAAGAATCACTTGATCCAACCTCCCTTGGCAGAAGCCCTGTTTAGATAAGACAGCCCAGTACCCTGTCCAGGTGATCTGAGAAGTGTCCAGTGTTGGGGAATCCACCACTTCCCTGGGGAGGTTATTTCAATGGCTGACTGCTCTCACTGTGAAAAATTGTCCTCTGGCATCCAATCGTAATCTCCCCAGGAGTAACTTTGTACCCATTACCCCTCATTTTCCCCTGTGACTCCTCCTAAAGGGAATCTCCATCTTCTCTGTAGCCACAGTTTAAACATTTGAACTCCGTGGAAAGTTCTCCTCTCTTCAGGTGGGCTGACACGGAGTTCTAGAGCTCAGCTGAGTATTGTCAGACCTGAGGGGAGACTCCTAGAGCTGTGAAAGCAGATGGCAGCACAGCACAGGGAAATGCTGTAAAAGGAGACACCCCAGCACTCTTTACATGACTTACACAGGAATAATATCCCAGGTGAGCTCGAAGGGAAAGCCTCTGGTTCCTTCTTTTGTATTTCCTAGGAAAGAACAGCAGTGTGAGTGTGTACCCCAAAACTCTCATCCCTCTGGGGACAGTTTATCTATCCCATATGTGTCCATGGTTCCTGAGCTCCCCTTCCTTCTGTGCTTACTTTTTGTGTTGTATTTAATCCAGGGGAAGGCTGCATTTCTCTCACAGATACTGGAGGACTCGCTGGGCTGAGAGATTCCCCAAATGTGGCATGAGCTCTCCATAAATTCCAAACACTTATTTTCCCTAAAATCTCACGGTGTTCTTAGAAGTCTGGGCTCTGAGTGAAGTGGAATGCCATTAGAGGAAATATTGCATCCCCTAGCTGAGGTCTGGCTGGAGTTTCTTTTTTACTTTTTATTCTACAGAACTGTTACACTGATCCTGTGTTTTGCCTCAAGCAGGAAACAAAACCTTTATGGAAAAGGGCTATGATAGAAAAATACAATGCAGTAGCCAAAGCTGTCAGGAGTTAAAACATTACTTCCAACTGCCCTCTGCTAATGACTTGCATCCTTTTTTCCTGGAACAGTGACATTCAAAGTGCCTGGCAAGGAGCTTCTAGATTAGTGTAAGTCTTGGTTACAGAGAGGAGAAACTCCTTCTGAAAATAGCTTTACACTGTTCCAGTGTAAACCAGATTGGACTGTTCAGTTCTCATGTATACCAGTAAAAATCCCTATCAGCCCTGTGCAATGTCCAGATGGCAGAGGGTAGAATACGCTTCATTTCCTTTCACATTGTTTTCTTACTCTTAGCAATGTTTCACAGCATTAAGTATCCAAACTTTTTTTTCCACATTTTTATTATTGCTCCCCTTCAAAAAAAACTTGTCTTTATTGGGCATTTTCATCCTTGGCTTGTCTAACTTCACCAACTTTTATCTCCCTCCTTCGAGCCACAGCTTTTCCCCTCTCATCTTGTAATCTGACATTGTGATTTGTTCATTTGTGTGCTTGTTTTTCTCCTTGAAGAAGATTTGCTGAATCATTGGGGAGGAGGCAAGAGCTGTAGAGGCAGCTGGTGGCCAGTGATAAAACCACGGCCACATCCAGCCTTCAGGGTTTGCAGGTGACAGCTCTTCAGTTGAAGGCTTGAGTCACATTCCCGTCTGAGCTAAGATTGCTGGGGACTTTGGGATTGAGGAAGAAAGGATGAGGAGGTGGTACCCCCAAAGTAGAAATTACTGTACCTGATGACTACAAAAGTTGTGTTGTATCTTCTGCAGAATTAATAATGATGCTGTGAGAAGCTGCAGTCTGGGGGGCTAAATCCTGCTGCCTGTTGTGCCCTTTTGAAATTTTTAGGCACTGTGAGCTATTCAAATGTAAAGTATTATCAGTCTTGCTGAGTTCTCCACCACCGTTGTGGCACCGTGAACTTTCTGACTTTCCAGCTGTTTCCCTGCATTCAATGTAACATGAGAAACCTCAGCTGTCTCATGCACACTCAGTCTGAAATCCAAGGTCTTTTGCCCTGCCAGCTCTGCCTTTAAGACACTAGGAAATGATTTTTGTGCAGAACTCACAAGTATCATTCAGAAATAAACTCCTACCAATAGTCCTTGATATTTTTCCTAAGAACAGAGTTTTAACTTGGGATGTTCTACTTGGTTTTAAACCTTCAAGGAGGTAAGATAAAGTTGGTTAACAAACAAGACTGCAAGTCTAGCTCACCTGAGTTCCATTTTTTGTTGTCCTACTCAAATTTGCACAAATATTCTAAGGTGAAAAATTAATTGGTGGATCCCAATGCAGAGACCTTGCTTTGATGCTTGATGGGGTTTTTGCAGGATTTTTCATGATGTCACTCCAGTATATTGCAGTGCATGTGCAGAAACTCTACCTTGCTCTTACCTGCAGATCTTGAAGCTGCTCCAGGCTGGATCTAAATATGGAGCTGAGGCAAGGATGTCTGACTGACACACAGCAGTGTGTCACTATGTCCACACTCTCAGGAGGGGGCCCTTTCAGAAACAAGAGTGCTCTGTCATCTCCAATTTCCTCTTCCTCAACTGAGACAAGAGATAACTTCTAATTTATAAAGAGAAAAAAACCAGTGAACTTGACCACTGCTAAAAATCCCACCAAAGCTCCTAATATAGATGAGCCTGGGATGTAAGATAAAGTCCCGTGGCTTTAAAATTATCCAAGAGGAAGGCAGAATCAATGGAGATGGGTTTTTAAACCCCTTGCTCTTCATGAGGAAGCCTTGAAAGTCAGAATTGTTTTGGTGGATGCTGACTGTGGCTGTTGGAGCTTGCTGAGGAGTCCTTGATGCACAGAGGAATTAAATGGCTTAGAGGTTGTTCATGACCTGGAGAACTGTAGATTAGGGGCTGGAGCAGAATTAGCTGTGAGAAACTCAGCCTGAGAGTGGTGCAGAAACCACAGGGCTGTGACTCAGCTCATGTAACTTTAGATGCCTACAGATACTGGGCTCCCTCTCTGCAGGGAGAGAAGTAGGTGCATACAAGGCAGGACTTCAGCCCTGGTTTAGATATGTGCTTTGGGAGCAGAAAGCCTTTGAGTCACCAGGTGACAGCAGAGATCTCCTGACCTACTGCTGAAGGTTTCTAGCCTTGTATCCCATGGAGAGCTGGGGACAGCACTGCATCCAGGCAGCCAAGGATGAGCACATCCCTCCAGCACAGGAGCAGGGCTTGCATCTCTGTAAAACCCCCAGATACAGGCAGGACCCAAGACACCAGCCTGAAGCAAAGGTGGTGGGATGCAGGATGAGAACTGTCCATATGGTCTGGATGAGCAATGACCTGATAACAGCATGGGCTGGCAGGCTAAGGAAATCTGTTAAAGCTGCAGGTGTAACACTGGTTCATCCTTCATGACCCAGCTTCATCAGGGAAATCAAGCAGAGGATGTGCCCTGCAGGAATCTCTCATTCCCCTCCCTGTCATGGCTGAGGTGTTTGCACAGGGAGCTTGCACAGGTCCAGGGGAGCTCATCCAAACACAGGAGGGTGTCTCTGGTATGATCTTCAGCTGTATTGATTTGGTTATTGCTGCCCTAGAAGAAGATGTGAAGGGGAGTTTGCTGGCTCATGCTTTTGCAGCTCAAATGGGAACGGTCAGAATTTTTTTCCTTCTGTTCACACAAGAGGTTTTACTATTTTTCAGAGACAGAGCAATTCTCTGTACACCAAACCTTAGTGACTGGTGCAACAGTGAAGTGTAGACCCCCTCCCAAACCTCAGGGAAGGCAGCACGGGAGAGAAGCTGCTCTGGGCACTGAACAGGAGCAGCTCACTCAGTAAGCATCAGAATTGTTTGTTGCAAATCTGACTCTCACACTGGGCAATGCTCTGGGCACTGCTGAGCTATTCAAATGTAAAGTATTATCAGTCTTGCTGAGTTCTCCACCACCACCGTCGTGGCACCGTGCAGCAGGCACACGGACACAGCTCTCTGACTTTCCAGCTGTTTCCCTGCATTCAATGTAACATGAGAAACCTCAGCTGTCTCATGCACACTCAGTCTGAAATCCAAGGTCTTTTGCCCTGCCAGCTCTGCCTTTAAGACACTAGGAAATGATTTTTGTGCAGAACTCACAAGTATCATTCAGAAATAAACTCCTACCAATAGTCCTTGATATTTTTCCTAAGAACAGAGTTTTAACTTGGGATGTTCTACTTGGTTTTAATCCTTCAAGGAGGTAAGAAAACCTTCACCATGCACTCCCTCAGGTCCCAGTGTTCATGTTTGCAGCTCCCAGGCTGCACTTACCCGGGTTATTTGCATGGATGGGGGTCCCTGGGTGACAGAGGTGAAGGGCTGACAGGCCTTTCCTGCCAATCTGTCTGTTGTTCAGATGAAGTGGTTGGAAAGTGCTCACTCTCCAGTTCCCTCTTTGGCTCAGGCACTGTGATAAGGCCTGGGCTGTCCTATCTTGCCCTGGGAGCTGTTCCTCCTCCCTAACAGGCTCCCTTCCCCGGCTGACAGTTAGCAGCCGGCAGTGCTTGATAAACTTATCAGACCAAAGCTGAGCTCAGTGCACGCTCAGCTCCTCCCCAGCCCCAGATTTCCCCACTCTTGAGGACTCTCTGCTCTCTGCCTGCCTTGCTGGCTGGTGCAGTGAACACAGATCCCCCTTGGGCCCACAGGTCAAAATCAGCCCAAGGACCAGATTGAGAAGTGCTCAGATTGAAGCAGCACATCCAGAGCGAAGGCGTTGAGTGGGGTGTTTACAGCCCTATCCAGCTGTGTTTTTCTCCCTGCAATATTATTCCTGAGTCAAAATCTTGTCTGGTTTATCCTCCCTGCGTTGTTGCTTGCCCTGCTCCTCTGCTGGTTTTGAGTTTAGTGGGTTTAATGCAGGGTCTGGCTGTGCCTGCCTGCAGGATTGCTGAGCCAGCTCTGGAATGAGGCTGGATTCAGTTCCTATCACTGGTTATTGGTGTCACCGTTGTGCTCGGGCGTTCCAGCCCAGATCAAGGCTCCATTGTGCGAGGTGCTGGATGTGGAAGATAAGGAGGAGCAGGCTCATTCCTGACTATCTTACCGTTGAAATAAACAAGTGAAATGAAGGGGAATGATTATCCTTCACTCACAGATGGGGTGAAGAGTTTCTGAGAGCTTCACAGTGTGCTGAACAACTTCAGAAATCCAGCACTCTTTGCATTGCCCGTCTTGCCCAAGGTCATGCAGGAAATGTGTGGCAGATCTTAAGTCTCAGTTTAAAGTTGTAGCCTTAAGATCAGTGTGTGTCCATGCTGACTGTTAGTTTTAAAATGGTGAGCCAGGTACTCTGCAAAGATCTGTGTTTTCTTACTTCTCATCCAGCACAGATTCACTATCCCTGAATAATTTTTGTGTGTCTGTTCTGGGTTGCCTCCTATAAGTAAGTGTGCTATTCCAAATTAAAAGGGGGGGGGGTGGAAAAATCTCTGCTTTGTGAGCAGATTAAATGTTTAAAAGTCATTTGTGATGTATTTTTTTTTAATTATTATTCTGTAACATCTAACCTAGTCCCATGTTAGGCCCTTATTGGCAGGCAGGAATGTTTTCCCTGTGCAAGGAAATGTGCATGCAGCTATTTCAGGGAGACTGCCCCACACCTTCAAGTTTCCTTTTGTGTGCTGTGCTGATGGGCTGGAACTAAACTGCTGTTGTGTCTCCATCACCTGTGACTGGGGAACAACCTGCTGTGAGGACAAGGGATTCTGCTCTTACCTCTTTTTTGCTAAAAACCCTTTCTTGTGATATCTAAGGTGGGAAGCAAGTGGATGCAGTAAATAACTCTAACCAGTAGAACCTGCACCCAGCTGGAGTCTAATTCTTCTCTGTCCTTCCTCTCAGTTCATTTTAGGGCTTCCCTAACAATTGCCAACACAAGAAAGCTTCTGGATCTTGCCTTCTCCAGGATTGCACTCCATGAGGTTATTACAACCTGAAGATAATCTCCAGCCTAATGCTGTGCTAGCTGGGAACACCCCTCTGCTTCCTGCAGATGTCCCGTGGCTCTGTCCTCATTAAGAAGACAGATTTATCCTGTGTCCAAACTGAAATCCACCCTTAATCACAGCTCTTCTGGGCTGCTGCTCTCAGTGCCTCAAGGCTGTCTGGAAGACACAGAGGCACCTCTCTCCTCCTGACAGATGCCCGGGGTTAGTGCTTTGCATGTCCCTCATTTGCTAAACAAAACAGCTCAGAGACCAGGATTTTTTCCCCCTAACAATAAAGGGAGGAAGGTGTGAAGGGGACTGGGGAAGTACAGGATACAGAGTGGGCTCAAAGAGAGGCAAAAACAATCAGCTCTTTCTTCAGTCACAAAGATTAGTTGAGATTTTGCTTTTCGTTATCTGTTTCCTTGACTGACTGACCAGAATGTTTGTGATGCAAGGGGAGGTGGTGGGAAAGGGCTTGCACCAGAGTGATTGGAACTGGGGAGGATTTGCATGTTTGCAGAGCAAGGCCAGGTGTGTTTGGTGACAGCCATGGCCTAGTCCTGATGTGTGCTGAGCATCCTTAGGTACCCATGGTGTAGATTCAGCAGCTCCAAGGATGAGGGCAGCCCTTTGCCTGCTCTTTGCAGCAGGTCTGCCTGTGGCTGGTGCTGTGCTGTGCTGGAAGAAGGGCAGTGAGGCTCTGCCTTGTTTTTCCTTGGGGCTGCTGGCATCCAGAGGCCTCAAGCAATGCCAGGGCTTGGGCATTAGGTGATCTTAAAGTGGCAGCTCATTACCCAAGAGGAAGAATCTGTAGTCTCTTAGTGGAAAACACTGCAAGTTAATTCCCTGTCCTCCTCCTCCCTTTTGTCACCTCCTGTCTCTCTGGTGCCTTTGCCTGTGGCCCCCCACAGGCTGTGTCTCTGGGAGTGGGTCAGCCTGCATCCCCTGCACTGCTCTGATCACAGATGTGTTCTCCTGAGCTCTGCAGCATGTCCTGCAGCCATCCCAGCATGCTCCTCCACTCACTGCCCATCCAGCCAAAGTTGTCCCTGGATCTCCTGGGATGTGCTCCTCAGGCTCCTCACAAGCACCAGGCTAAGTGTTAACAACACCAGCTCTCTCCTGGCACTGCCTCCTCCAGGGTAGCTGCTCTTCAGGAATATCTGGGCTCAGTAACCCTCCCTGGAGTCCTGGGGAAATACACAGGACTGGGGTGATGTGTGCTGTGTTTGGAGGGAGAAGCCATAGGAGCACACAGGAGAGAAGATCCCAGTTGTCCATTGAAGCTTATAGCTCCTCTGTACCTTGAAAATCAAGGACAGGAATGAACATCTAATGGATATAGCAGCTCTTCTTTATGAGGCTCAGAAGAACCAGCTGTCTGGTTTGGTTTTATGAGTGGTCACAGGCACTCTTTCCAATTGATGTGTGCCAGCACTTGGCTCCAAATGGCCAGAATTGGGAAGTTTTACATGTGTCAGATCCCTCTGCTGTCCCCAGGGAAGTCTGCACTGGTTTGGGGCTGGAGGGTTTTGCTCCTGAGCAGTCCAGATTCCTGACACCCTCTTTGAGTATATCTGTTTGCAGATTAGTGGAGAACAAGGGGAATAACAAACAGAGTTTGCATTTTGGGCAGTAGTTTTAATAAGCTGAAATGACTTTGAGCAAGGCTTGTGCATGTGTGATGTTCACAGGTGGCTGTGGGGCCGGGGACCACTTCCATCACAGGTTATGCACCTTCCCCAGAATGGCTCAGGAAAGGACAGCAGGGATTTTCTGGGGGCTTTGGCACTGCCTGTTGGACATTCTGTGTGTCGACTCCTGCTCTGCAGAGCTGGCTCTGGATCTGTGGGGCTCTGCACCAGTCTGTCTCCAGGATGAAAGTCTCTCTAATGGGAGCCCTTTCCTGCATGTGAATTTCCATCTTTAATCCCACTCAAATTATAAAGAGCAATCCTAAACTCTTTTCTTTCTCCTTTTGCACCCCATCCCCATTGCCTGTGTCCCCAGAGTCAGGTATGAACTGTTCTTTAAATAAGTGTTTTGAACATGAAATACACTGTGTTAGCCCAGTTACTAAGAAGGAACAGATTTATCAGATAAATCCCAGCAGGCCTGTGCATGTCACTGTCTGGTATAGTGCAATAAAAATATACATTAGAATAAGTATAAATACATATTTACAGTGTACAAGTAAAGCCAGGAGTACAGACTCTGGGTTTGAGCTTCCAGGTACATATTAATGACTTACAGCTTAGGCACAGCATAAAAGGGGCAAGTACAGTTTAGGTCTTAGGAGAGTAACTTGGGATTTACAGCAGTGGAACTGAGGGCCGTTCTCTCCTGGCAATACAGGAATTTTCCACTTAGACCATTTTGTCTTTGCCCATGATGGCAGCTTTCCTTCATAAGCTTTTGGAGTGAAATGGCCACAGCCCATTCCCAGGGTAATTCCCACTGGTGTTGTTGTCCAAAGCTGTGTGTTCAGGGATGCAGTTATGGAGTGAGCCACATGCTGCTACAATGCCCCAATTAACTGAAAACACTTTTCTGTTTTATAATACTTTGTATTTCCTGTTAAGAACTTGGGGAGCTCCACAAACCTGAGTGAATAGCCCTACGTCACCAGGAGGGATGGAAAAACAAAAGCCCAGTGTGGTGACTTGCCAAAGGTTATAGAGAGAGAATCTGGCAGAGCTTGGAGGGGAACTGGTTCTTTACTTGCTTCAGTGCTTTGCTTCAACCCCTAGACCTGGCAAAAGGAGGAAATACCACTGCTCTCTTTGTATAATATTTGTGAGGTACTTGCATACTCTGCCAACATGTACAGGCTCAGTCACTTCCTCCTTGAGGAGAGTGCCTGGCAAGCAGAACTCTGGCCCTTGACAGCGATATCCAGGGTCACTCCTGCCCATGCAGTGACTCAGGATTGCTCAGGACAGCTCTAAGCTGGCATGTCCAGCATATACAGGGAAATACTGTGGTACATACCAGCCCCAATTCCAAGAGCAGCCAAACTCTCCCATGGTACCAAGACATGGGGGATGATCAGCTCCTGCCTGGTGCTGTGGTGTGACTCTTCCTGGAGCCTGCTTGGGATCTCTGCATCGTGCTGTGTCTGAGGAATGTATTTAGAGACCCCTGTTATCTGCTAGGGATAGGAGCTGTTTCTTCAGTATTTTCCTCCCACTCCAAGCTAAAAATACAGCACAGTTAACTTGTCATTTGATCAGAGTAAATGCTCTGCTGAAAGAAATTACTTTAAGGTGTCTGTTGGTAGAATTTATGGCCTGGGCAAGTCTCTGCAGAAGGCCTGTCCAGGTTGAACACAGCTGACTGAATGCAATCTATTTGCATGCCTTGGGCTTATCTTCCCAACCATCAGAGCAGAACATGGTTACAGCACCAGCTTGGCAAAGACTGTTGCTGCCAACAGCCCAGGAGTCCCCTCCTCCCCGCTGGGCAGCCTGACAAACTGGATTCTGCTCCTGGTGTAAATCCAGAGTGATAGTGACCTTAGAGGAATTCCTCTGGATTTACACTTGAGCAGGTGATGTCAGATCTGGGTTGGTACCTGTTGCAATCAAAAAGTGAAAGCTCCCACAGGTTTCTTTGGGATGTGCAAGGCCCTGTGGTGCCAAACAGCAAAGCCAATGCATGACTTGGCCAGTCCTCAGGGGAACATAGGACACCATGGGAGCTTTATAATGTGGATGGAGATGCTGGGGACAGTCTTCTTCCCTGGAGCATGAAGTGGGAGTTCCAGTAAAGACCTGGAGCCACCCCTCACTTGAGGCTGTGCTGGGTCTCCCGGTGCCTCCGTAGATCCACCTTGCGCTGGAAGCCCTTGGCACAGAGCTCGCAGCTGAAGGGTTTGAAGCCGGTGTGTTTGCGGCTGTGGGTGATCAGGTTAGAGCTCTGGCTGAAGGCTTTGCCACACACCTGGCATTTGTGGGGCTTCTCCCCTGCAGGGCACAGAAAATGGTAAAAAAAACCCCACTTTAAGAGGTGAAGGAACAGAGAAATGCATTTTAGCAGAGTCAGAGCTGCTTGGGCATCAGCTCTCCTGCGGATGTGTCTGGATTGTGATCCAGCAGCAGCGGGTGGGAAGAACCAGGGACAGTCCTCTCCACTTGAGTGACCCATTCCCTGAATCCAGGGCTGGGTGCAACCCCAACATACACCAGAGGCTGGCCAATAACCACCTCCTTGTCAGGCAGATGTGCTTCAGCCTCCTGCTGTCTCACCCCACATGGAATAATGACTTTCCAGTGCCTCTGGGCACTTATCCTCAGTCTAATACCTCTGTGTCTGGGGACTGTGTATGTGCATTGGCATGATGGGCTCTAATTTGCATTTTCCCATTGGAATATTTAGTTTCTCACCTGTGTGGATGTACGTGTGCTTCTTCATGTCTGACTTCTGATGGAAGCGCTTCCCGCAGTACTGGCAGGGATAGGGCCGTGTGTCCGAGTGGATCAGGAGGTGAGTGGAGAGGGTGGAGGAACGTTTGAATGTCTTCCCACACATCTTGCACTCAAAGCTTCTTTCCTGTAGGGGAAGGAAAATCATGGGATGTCTGAGGCTGCAAGACATGTGACAGAGCTTGAAGAGTGATGAGAACTGTAGATTTGATAAGCAAATCTCTTTGGCTCATGGACTGATAATGCTGGGTGCAGCATAAAGGGAGTGCAGGGAGGGTTAATTATGGAAATGGATCCTATCTTGTGATCCAAACTCCTGCTCCCTTTAGCAGGAGGTGAGGCACAGAAGAGTGAGTAGCAATGATCCTCCTTTCCCTTCCAAGGAATTCTGAAGGGCAGTCTGAGATTTTTGAGACCAAGAGCTCCTGTCCTTGTCACTGCGTGCCACAGGAAAGGCATCACGTTTGTAACCTAGGAAGTGTCACTTCCTCTATAAAGGATTAAGGAAGAGCTGAGGGCCAGAGCTGCTTCTCTGGAACCACGCCACCCACCTGGGAGTGGATGTTGGTGTGCTGCTCCAGGCTCACAGCATGCCCAAAGGTTTTGCCACACACTTCACAAGCAAAGGGACGGGTCCCGCTGTGAGACCTTCGGACATGGACCTCCAGTCCATGGGGAGTGGAGAACACCTGCAAAACAAAATCCCAGTGATTCTTCTGACATGAGGTGGCTGCATTTCCAGCTCTGTTTTCAATTCCTTCTCTTTATTTAATCCTCCCCTCTGTGAGAACTCTTGTGAGCTGCAGCATTCCCAGTGCCTTGTTCTCCTGACTGCAGGCCGCGCTCTGAGCCACACACTTTGGTGTGAGCAAATGAAGAATGGGTTTCATGCTTCATGTGTGCTATGAAAATCCCACCAGGCCCTCCCCATCCCAGAGGTTCTCATCCAACACACACCTTGTTGCACTTCACACAGTGGAAGGTCTCCATGTCTGAGGAGTAATGCAGGCTGTAATCCAGGGGGGGCTCAGTGCTTGGCAGGAGGTGGCTCCCATACAGGCTCACGGGATGCTCCAGCAGGGAGCTGGAAGACATCTGCTGGTAGCTGTATGGCACATGAAAAGCATCCCAGGAAAAGCTGGCTTTGTAGAAGGTTGGGGTGTTCACGGTGTTAGTGCAGTCCTTGATCTCCAGCCCTGGCATGGCCATCTCTGAGTTTGCAAAGGAGAGGGAGAGGTAAGTGTCACACCATCGCCTGAAGCTGTAAAAAAGTAACCCATCTTGCCTGACCTCAGGAGCTGCAGTTGGCAACTTCTTGATTCAAACCCTGATTCCCCAGGTAAAGGTCCTGTTGTGACTTTGATTTCAATCTGAGGAAATTTTATGGCAAAGAATGCCGTGGAAATGTTATGGCTAAGGGAGAGTTAAGCCCCCTGCTAGCCCTCCTTGATGGGGTGTTTGAACAAGTATCCTGTGGGCACCTGCCGTGACCCACGTAGCACAGAGCTGCATTAAGATGGGGAGGTTCATTCATTGGGAATCACAGCACTATCCTTCATTCTTTCTGGTGTAGACCAGAACTGTAAAGGGAAATACAGAATGCTCCTGATGAGCTCTGCCTGGGGAAAGTTTGACCATTGATGTCAAAATAAGACCTCTCTTTTACTGAAAATCTGGGCCCAGTTTTAGGAGCTCCATAACCAGCTCAGCCCTGACCTCTTTTGCAATTGGGATTTTGGGTAGCAAACCTTGAGCTGAAGGGCCTGGCAGCATCCTGCTCAGGTACTGGACAGGGACACTTTCTTCTTTCAGTTCAGGTGGGTCCTTTTCTTGTTTTGGAACCACACATCCCAGGTCCTGTTTCTTGATGTCCTCTGGTGTCCTGTCTCCTGTGGCTGCAAAGAGCAGTGTCACAGTCATGTCACAGTTATGTCACTCTTGCTGCATCAAGAGGAGTCTGTTCAGGTGAGTTTCGTACTCATGTGTGAACTCCTGCCTGGGCACAGCAGCCCATGCTCAGTTCCCTGAGGAAGTGCAGAGTAATGCCATCAGCATTCAAGATCTGCCCATTGCTGACCAAGGGAAATTCCAAGCAAGATGAGATAGGCAAGGCAGAGGGGCAGGATGAGATGATCGGATCTTGATACCTGATACGGTTAGAGAAAACCAACCCTAGAATTATGCTGTAAGAATTATTTCCCTATTTAAAACCATTTCCGCTTGTGTGGGTAACTAACAATCACTGACTTATTAACCTCCCCACCCCTCTCCTGAGAAGCTGGGTATTGTTAAGCTGGATTTATGGACAGACAAGGAGGGAAGCAGAGAGGGGAGGCAAGTCCTTATGCTCTGAGCCTCACCTCCTCCTGCCCACACTCTCATTTATTTCTCCATGCTTGTCTTAGCCCTTAAAGACACCAACCAGCCCTTGATAAACTTTGTAGTAAGAATCTAAAATGGACAGAGGTCCAACATGTGTCTCCTTTCTGCTGGAGATGGGACAGATCTGCTGAAAGACAGTATTTATCTGTTGTCAAACCTGCCACTGCACCAAAGACAGCAAATGGCTGAAGGATGATGGCAGGAATGGAAATTAAAATGTTACCTCCTTTCCTTTTTATCAAACTTATCTCAGGGCTAGACTCTAGTTTGATAGCCAGGGCTAGAACAAAGGGTAAATTGATCCTAAATTTGAATAAAGAAAATTTGAATGGTGCCTGAAGGAAGAAGAAACTAGCCTGGCCCTGCCACTGCTTGGATGGCTGTGGGAGAGCAGGAGCTGGAGCAGAGAGAGGACAGCAGGGATGGGCAGAAGTGTGTTGGGTGGTGTTAACACCAGGAAGAGATGGTAACACTTCGAGGTAGAGCAGATGCAGTCCAGAGGGAATGTGGGCAGTGAACACATGAAACTGGAGATGGAGGTGGCAAAGTTGTGAGTTTGTAGAACACTGACAACCCAGTGCAAGCTCTTTTCCCTTAGTGGCCTGAAGTTGGTCATTTTTCCCAAATGTGACCAACTCCACACAGCATCTTATAGCTCAAATCTCCCCAGGAACCCAGCAGGAAACAAAGGGAGGATCAGTGTGGATTTGGTGTAGAGAAAGGACACACAGTAAGGGATCAGCTTGCCCTTAGACTGGCATCCCTGAGTAGAAGCCTTTGGATGCTCTTTAGCTCACTCATGCTGCTCCTTTAGCTGCCTACTGAGTTACTGATTTATGTCTGTGTGTTCCTATAAGCCCAGGGGATGGATTGACTCACCAGTGAAGGCAGAGGTGACTGGACTCCACGTGAGTACTGGCAGGTCATCTTCCACACAGCGGTGCTGGTGATAGGTGTGAGCCTTTTTGCTCTTCACCAAAAAGGAACGTGGCATCTTACATTCACTTCCTGGGATGACACACAGAAAAACACCAGGTAAACCTCTGTGGCTTGGGGAGTAACTTCCCACTTGTTTCAGATTAAGTGTACTCTGTGAAAACCACACTTCACAATCTACCCCTGGCTGAGGCAAAGGATTACAGAAAAAGAAACAGGGACAGGCCTAATCTGAGTGCTGTGTTACAGACCAAAACCTGGTTGGAAGCCAGGACCTGTCTCTTGTAGTCCTGCTCTGACTACAGGACAGGCTACATCTCTGATCTTCTCCTCCCTGAGAGGACACAGAGGGAACCAAGGGTTAGAGATCCCCACTGGAGAAAGTCTGAGTGTTTGTGCTGTGCCTGGAAGGGCCCAGTCCCAAGCCATGGCCTGGGCTCTACAGTGAAATTATTATATAAACAATAATGATAGAAAATACATCAGCAATAGGAGAGTGACAGGGAAATCCCTGCAGAATGATGTGTGGAGGGTTTCCCTCTTGCTTGAGTAGTTGTGGTTCTGGCTGACAAACAACAGAGCAGAGCCAGAGCAGGAGGGCTGGCTGAGAAGTCACCTTTTGGACCCAACTCAAATATTACAGATCGTTGAAATGGCGGGTTAGGGACAAACATAAAATGCTGAAATTTAATCATACCAAATTCTCCTGCAATGCACGTGTTATCTTTGCTACCCAGAACCCAGCCCACCCTGTGCCCGCTCCCTGGGGCTGGTAACTGCTCTGCTGGAGGCAGGGTGGCAACAGGGACGATGTTGTGTTCAGTAATAGCAGTTGGTGCCTTATTTGCATGCGTATTTGCATTTTCCTTTGTAATTGTTTGGGATAGAGGCACTAAAAACAAATCTTGCTATATTTCATTTGAAAAGTCAGCATTTAAGTCCTGGCTCTCTGTTGACTGGAAACTGTTATTAAGTTTTGTTCCTTCCTGAGAGCAGTTCAGTGGAAGCTGCTTATTTACTAAAGAAAAAACGTCCAAAATCCACAAAGTTTTCTCCTTTTAAGCAGGAATTATATTAAATGTCTGTCCAAGGACAGAGCAGTCCTGGAATCCCAAACAGGCAGGGGTGGAAAGGTCTGTTCCCCAGAGTTCAGAAGCACCTGTACTACCCCTTCATGCTAAATATAATTGCAGAGCCCAGTGGTGTTGTTTAAAGGTTTGAGGGACATATTTACAGTAGTACCTAAAGCTGTGGAATTCCCACAGCCTGGTCTGCTGGGGACAAGGGAATTGCTGGGGTGCTCCCAGCCCAGCTGCCTTTCAATATGCTGCTGTCCTTTTAAATCTGGTCCAGGATTCCCACTGTTCCAGTTATGATTTCAGGGATAACTCTTTTTGGCTCTAACCATTTTTACTTCTGAAATGACTCACCTGTTTTTCTTCATCTTTTTCCAAGAAATTTACGTGTATCTTGAGATGAATAATAGAAAGCTGAGGCCAAGTGCAGACTTTTAATTTAATTTTAGAAAAAGGACAGAACAGCACTGAGGATGAACCATAAGCAGGCCCTTGAGGCAAGGGGCACTGAAGTACGTGGCTGCTTTTTGCTCTCCTGGAACTCTCTAATGAGGTTCATTCAAAGAGCTGTAAAGAATCCCTGCCCAGTGCAAAGCTGCAGGCACAGAAATAGCTGCAGCTCAGTGCAAACACAGGGGTGTTCTGCAGTGGGTTATAACCCTTCAGCTCAGCCTGTGTCCCTCCCATTCCAGCAGCACTGCTGACCTCTCGGTCAGTCCCAGCTGAGCTACCCGTGCACTGACCCAACACCACATTATAGACCTGTCCCAAGTTAAAGTGCTGCCTTGAACCCTTTAGACCTGGAATTTCCATTCCTGTCACAGAGATTTCCCCATGTGGTGGGGCAGCACCGTGTCCACAATGGGGGGGTATCCACACCAGGAAGCTTCAGAGATCGGATTTCTCTGCCTGAATTAACCAGCTCATTCCCCTGGGCTTCCTTCACGGTGGAAGAAGAGGCTCTGGCAGTGGGTAACTGCAGGGTGAGAGGCTGCATCCAGCTGTGCCTGCTGGAACAGCCACTCTCCCTGCCCTCAGGCTAGAGAATCCTGGAGAATCCTGTGGCAGCAGCTGGGCAGCACAGCCAGGTATAAATCAGAGGACTGGAGATGGGTGGCTTAAGCAATTCAGCAAAGTTTTATGGCAGTGCCCATATGCCAGGTACAGACAGCACTAAGTACAACCCCTCTTTCCTAGTGAAGAAGAAGAATCTTTCTGGATTGTTCGCTCCAGCCTGTGTAAAAGTCAAATTTGGTCCAGTATCCTGACTGCTGATAAGGGCCATGACTGAGCACAACCATCTTCAATGGACTGAACGTTGCAAAAGGAAGTCACCTTCCCCCACCCCATTTTACAGAAAAAAAAGGAACTGGGAGCCCAAAGCAGAGTTAATTAACAACTGCACTGGACTGGCTTTGTGATTCACAACCAGGCTAGAGGAAAGCTACAAGCAGAGACTGTGGGAGGAAAAAGGACTGTTTTTCCTCGAAACTCCAGATTATCTGTAGCAAGAGATTAGCTGCTCCTAGTGGCTCACTGTATTTCCCAGGAAAAGCAGTGCTGTGGACAATGGACCCCGCACCCTGCTATGTCTTAGAGTTATTGAAGCTTCTGACAGAATTTAGCTTTGATCTTTTGCTGAAAATTAAACTTTCGTTTTTTGGAGTCTGTTCATATCAGCCCCTGTGGCAGCAGTTTCTACCTGGACTGGTAAGTGCACAAGGGAATTTATTGCTTGGGTAGGAATGCCCATCCAAAATGGAAGTGTTCTGACATTTTTATTAATTCAATATAGGACATAAAGCCAGTAGGTGGCTAGAATTGACATTCTTATTAGCCTGCCATTCACGCAGCTGTATAATAATGTTATAATGTGCCCTGAGGAAAAGACAGCAGGAGCCAAAGGGAAAAAAGCAGCTTCACTATTTTGGGTACCTCACCTGAAGCACCTTAGAAGTGTTTCTTTTACCAGTTATAAATTCCCCAGTCAGATCTGAAAGCAGATCCAGCATTTGTGTGTTCAAACTCTGAGTTCCTTCACCCTCAGTGATGCTTTAGTATGATTTTTCAAGTACCCCAGGTAAAAATCTAACAGGTCACTGAAACATCGCAAATGGGCTTGGTTTTTAGTTTAGGGGTGGCTTCTGACCCAAGATCCTCATTTTACTGGATCCCATGTTCCTCCTGCAGCCCTAACTCTCACTTCACTACAGCTCTCAGTACCCAAACCCACAGGACTGGTCCTTTGATGTAATTTAGAGGAAATTCATACTCTCGGTGAATTAGCTTTGTAGGATTGTGCCACGCTGAACCCAATTTGCAGTGAAAGCTCCATTCTAAAGCTGACTTACACTTTTCTCTAAATTCAAGTAATTCTGTTTTCAGATTTCCAAGGTTAATTGTATAGACATATAATATGTCTATAAAATTATAAAAAAAGAAAATGTTTTTTCTTACTACACTCAGTGAAACATTAAATTTTAACTGGCATTACAAGGCTAGTACTCACTAGTAGTACATTACACCACATCTTCAGATAAGTTTATGAGCATACAAAGTTTTAGGCTAAAAAGGGCTTTTTCCTGTCCGTTACTTCATTTATATGATTTATATTTATATCTTAATATTTCCATTTTCCTGCTTTGTTTTTACTGCTTTTTTTTCTGGAAAAAGTGAAGCTTCCAAAAATACAGAATAGTTTGTCTTTCAAAAGACTACATTTTTGAAGAAAAAAAGCACAAAGTGGAACATGAGATTTAAGAGCTAAAATAAAATAAAATATAAAAAATAAAATAAAATAAAATAAAATGTTTTATGGACTCTTGACTCTTTAAGCATAAAGTCAAATTTGAAAGATATTCACCTCTTTACAACAAAATTAATCATTTTTCCACTAGTCCCCCTAGCATAATTGAATGTACTTAGGGCAAGAAATTTAAATGGGACTTTTTTATTGGAAAAATGAACAAGAGATTTTTAATTCTTGTGGTAAGAATTGGATAAATGGATTATGGCAGGGGCAGAAAATTATGGTGGAAATTTTATCCAAGAAGTTGAACAGAAATAGCTGCAACACCCAGAAAAAAATATTTAGACTGTAATTGCAGCACTTGTTCTCTAGAAAGCTCCCATAGCTCCATGTGGTGTTGGGAATGCCACTGGCTTTAGGAAACTTTGCCTTTGGCTTCCATGGATGGACTTATACAGTGCAATCTCCCAAATTCCAGATCTCCTTAATGTACAGATGCAATTTCAATGTGAACTTGCAAATCATTAATGTATTGAATCAATCTTGTGATATGAGAAGCGCCCATAAATAGCTAATTCCATATGCTAAAATTTGTTAGATTCATCAGCCTATATTTAAAAAGGGTGGAAAAATAATAAAAGACGGATTCAAAGCAAAAATCCTGGGAATGGGAGAGGAATTGTCATCTACATAAACTGGAACAGGTGATGGCAGCGGAGGTGTGCTGCTCTCTGAATGTAAAGATCTGGCCTTATAAAAGAGAATTAAAAGGAAAAACACAGTTTGCCCCCTCCTCAATGGCAAAGTAAAAAACTCCACAGCTCCTGCTGATGGAGCTGGCTGGGACACAGGTACCTGGGACCATTGTCACTTCTCTTATATTTTGTTCTATTTCCATTTTCACATGTGAAAGTGAAGTACATGGCATATAATTTCAAAAGATTCAATTCAAATGAGTCAGGTGAACTATTACCATAAAGGAATCCTCAGGACAAGTGGCTTAGGCAGTGGAATATGTTACATATTTGCAGACACAAGCAAAGAAGAAGAATGAATAAAGCTTAGAAAAACAGATCAGAAAAATGAGAAAACCAATGCAATTAAAAGTGTTTAAAAGAATAAATCAATCACCTGTTTGAGGGACTTTGCTTTACTGGATTTGCCTTGAAATCTCCCCAGACAAGCAAGACGTCGTCTTCTCTTGGGACTCTTCTTCCACTTTTTCACTTGGTTGCAGTCTGCTGAAATAGATACTTCTCCTTTTTTCTCTCTGTTTTTTTTTTTCCTGTTCCCCTCCCTGATTTTTCAATCAGATTATTTGTGTCAAAATCTGGCGGTGAAGAAACAGCCAATAAGAGACAGAGCCCAGAAGGTATTTGCTTATCAAAACTTCCCAGGACTTTGACAACTTGAAGAGAATTCACGATGCCCAGCTCGAAGCCCTGGGGGCAGCACCCTTCACTTTTGGGTGCAGCTTTGCCTTCTGCAGGAATACTCTGTCATATTGACAAAAAGCATGACACAGGAAATAATGTACTGAGCAGGCATTTGTTATTTTGTATTTTCCTTAAGAAAAAAAAAAAAAAAAAAAGAAAATTAAATAAAAGCCCTTAAGAAACCTGTAATTTTACACACATTCATCCCCGCATCATATCTCTTACAAACAGACACACCATCTGTCTAACACACATACACACACACATACTCGGGGCTCATAAACAAAACCATCGAGCACATATGCACAGAATTATTTTATTCCAGAATGGATCTTTTATCTTTCCAATTTCCAAGGAAAAAGGAATAAATACTTGCACGGTATAACCGAAGAAGATGCGTGTTAATCACCCTTCATTTTCCCAGGCATATGTGTGTGCAATCCACACATATTTTAGGCATTGCTCTATCTATATACAGCTGTATATAGGGTATAAATATAGATTTAAGAAAGCTCATTAAGCAAGCTCATTAACAACAGCTTTGCTAAAAGCTCTTCAAGAGCAATAATAAAAATTTGCACTTCTATCACTTGCTTTCAAAAAAGGTTTGAGAATGGCTTTGCAAATGTGAAATAATTGAGCGTCAAAGTAATGACCCAGTGGAAGGTGGGAGGATGGAGCAGGGGCAGAGTGACTGTCCCCAGGTTGTTCTCTAGCACAGGTGGGAACAGGAGCTGGAGAACAGTTTTTTCTTTTAGAATCCTTGGACATCACTCTTATTTGGAGACAAACTAGGCGAGCTGAAATCCCCAAATACTTGGGAGAGAGAAAGGGAGTAGTTCCTTGATTCCACCTATTCTCTAGTTATCCCAACCCTCCTGGCTGTGCAGGTGCACTGTGGCATGAGCTGTGTGTGCCCTTGGTTGTCCTCTCCTGTGCTCACAGCTCTCTGTGCATGGTGGAACTGAGAGTGCAGGGATGCCTTCCAAGGAATTTATCATTCCAGAGGTAAAGAAGTGTACAGCAGCTGTTGTGCGCTGAGTACCGGACTGCCACCAGCAGGAAAATTCCTCAGGAGACCGAGTTTTCCTGCTCCCTGTGAGCTTCCAAATGTATTTCACTGTTTCCTACAGCTGCATGTCTCTTCTGTGTCCCTTTTCCTGCGGCAGCTCAGGGTGGGGAACACCAGGAAGGAACAACCTTTGTTCTGCAGGGCCCAGCGGGAGGCGGGGGCTTCCCTGAGGGAGCAGATGTGGTCCAGGGATACTCGGGGCCGAGAGCAGAGGGATTCTGGTCCTGGCCACGGCAGGACCTGCTGTCCCCAACGCTGTGCCAGGACAGCACAAGTGCCAGCTGTGGCATTGCCCCATGGCACCAGCTGAGCTGTGCAATGGGGTTGATGCAACTCGGAGATAAGAGTGTGGATTTCACCCACATTGAGAAAGATTCAGATTTTGATCTTAACCCATCTGTCATTTACTGAGCATAATTAATTCTTGTTGTTTATAGAAGCGAACAATCCCTTTTCCTGCTCCCTCCTCCCCTCCATATTTATCTAGCCGGGTTTTGCATGAAAGAAACGTTCCTAAGGCATTGTGTTTGAAGCTGATTTGCATTCTCTTAAACACAGGCATTTGAGGGATTACATTTCCCGCTACAAAAACAAGCATTGTAACAGAAACCCAAAATGCACATTGCAGCTTCAGGGTTTCATATGAAGACAGTTACAGGAGTTAAACAAAATAGGAAAATGACAAGCTGCTGAAAAGGACTGAGATGTTATTTTATGAAACATTGGAGCTGGCTTCTGCCAGCATCTCTGAGCACAGACCTCCCGTTGATACAAAGTGCAAATGGCAGCAGAAGGTGGCCAGGAGGACTGGCCAGGAGGATGCCTCCATCTCCAGTGTCAGTAACAGCTGGATCAGCTCATGGTAGCCACAAGCTCACAAGGCCCAGATGTAAGTGCTGACCCCTGACCTAACAGCACAGAAACTCTCATTCAGGACCAATGTCACCACACTGCAAAGCCTGGAGGGACACAGGGACACTGCTGTGGTTTCTCCAGCTCCCACCCCTTCCTTCTTTCTTTATTTCAGGGATTCCTGTGGAGCAAAAAGCTGCAGGATGGGAGTGCAGTTGTCTTGGCTTGTTGTGTTTTACTCTTCCCTGGATTTCTGTCTATGGCTTTTGTTCATCTCTCCACCGAAATCGCCATCAAAAGGTGACTTACACAAGCTGACTTATAAACGCAGAGAGCTGGAAGTGCATTTGGGGCTGGAAGAACCTTTGAGCTGACCCCGTGTGGTCATTCTTATTTTATGTTATTCCTGTTGATATCACTTTCCCCATTCTCTCTTATTCAGGCTCAGCACGGAAGGGAGAGCCACACAGAGCTTATCTGGGCTCCCAGAGACTTGTCCTGGCCCTGACCCACACAGGCCACCAGGAATTTAGAGAGCCCTGCTTGCACACAAGAACAGTTTAATTTTGTGTGCTGGTGTGAGTGGTTACTACATGTCACATGCTCCAGTGTGTCCGAAGTAAATAGATTTTTAAATGTTCATCTCAGTAATAATAAACAGGTTAATTACAGCATAACACGTCCCTTTTAGTGCAGTTGTTTCTCCTTTCAAATCCAGCAGCAGACCCCTGCTATAGCATCCATGTTTTCTTTGTCAATTTGACTGTTACAGCAATTAAGTTCCAGTAAAATAACACTACTAATTGCTTCCAGCTCTTTTCTGAAGCTCATCTTAATTTCCACTCTCTTCTGTGGCAGATTAAACAAACATGTCTTCTGCACACAAGAAAAAAAAATTACCATCACTTTGTCCAGACCATAATAAATATTAATTGCCAGGCACAAGGCAGGACTAGATTAAAAATATGCTGGCTCCAAGCAACTCTTATCTCATCATGAGTCAGGATGACCTACAGCAGGTGCAGCGGGAAGGAACACAAGAAGAAGAAACACAAAAACTGCTGCAGAAGTTAATCAATTGATGCCTCTCAGATGGGGCTCTGTTTTTCTTCCTTTGGACCTCATTTCCACTTTGCAAATTTAATGCCTGTGATTCCTGCTGGGATCTGGGGACAATTAATACACTCCAGAGTCAGATCGAGCACCCTCGGTGTGTCCCTTGCGGAGCTGCTACTCCTTGGAAAAGGAAAAACACGGACATCCCACCAGCCCGGAGACTGAAATGTTGAGTTTTAAACCTGTCGTACGTGGCACACGAAACCGAAGGTTGGAAATCCTTCCCTGCGGTAATTTCCTTTCTCCCCTCCTACCCTGCATTTTCCATAGGGAAAGATTGACCTTTATCTGCAAGGATAGGATGTTTGTGTCATATGGCTGCTGCATTCTAGGAGGGGAAAAAAGAAAACAAAAACAAAGACAGAATCTTTGTCCACGGTTTGGATGAGTAAGTCCTCCGGGATCCAAAATCAGGAGAAGGAAACAAGCTTTGCACGCTCATCAATTAAAATCAATGAGATTTGGGGAGCGTGCCCGGGGCTTCTGTCCGGGAGCCACCAGAGCCGTGTCCCGTCAGCACCGCCCCGCACACAGCGGCACCTCCGAGACACTTTTTTACTCCCTTTGAGCAAAACCCCGCACTTTGAGCGGGACACCCAAGTGGAAGCGCGGAGAGCGAGGAGAAACGAGCCCCCACCCGCGGCCGCCGCGTCCCCTCAGGGCCGGGCCTTGTTTACCGCCCGCGCGCGGCCCCGCCCCTCGCATCACGCGACCGCCGCCCGCCGCAGCGCTGCCCCCGCCGAGATCCCTCCGCTGTGGGACGCCGCGGGGGCGCGGCGGTTGCGGGCTCGCCCCTCGTTCATCCTCCGAGGTGGGAATGTCCCGTGAGGCGGCAGAAGCGAGCGAGGCGGGGAGGGACCGGGAGAGACGCCGGGAAGCCCGCGGAAAATGAGGCAGTGAGACAGGACTAGGTTGTGCGGCGGAGGGATCTGAGGGGCGAAGCGCTGTGATGGGAGGGGGAGGCAGGGCCAAGATGGCGGCGCCCTGTGGGCCGGAGGAGCCCGGAGTGGTAAACAGCTGAGGGGAGGAGAGGGAGAGGTGAGTGTGCCGGGCCGCCTCCCGCTGCCACCGCCGCGGCGACACCGGGGACAGCCGTGGGGACGGAGAGGAGGAAGCAAAGCAGATAGATGAGCGGGGAAGCAGGGAGAAAGGGTTGGGGGAGGAGGCGGTAGGAGAAAGGGAAGGGGTCGGGGCGATGGGGAAGGAAGGGGGGGTGATGTTCTCCCTCCGTCCCCTTTCCTGCCTGCCTCTGTCCCCTTTCCTTTTTTCCAGACAAACTTGCTCTGGAGCGCTGCCCGGGGGGCTCGGGGCGCTGCTCCCCCCGCAGGGTCCCCCTACCAGCCAAAGCGCCCTTTTAGTTCTGAGCTTTTTATCGAAAAAGGCTCAGCACCCCCATTGCAAAGGCTGTGGCGATTTCCAGGTTTCCCCTGCCTTGGTTACTTGCTGACGAGGTTCCCTTGTCCGGGGTAGAGCATTAAATAAAGCAGTCAAAGACTTGTTAAAGTCTGTCCCCTCGGTGAGGAAGGCTTTTCTCATTTCCTTGCTTCTGGGTAGGTAATGTGAAGTCAGGATGTTGTTTACTTCTACAATAAAACATTTTGCTTCCTGTTATCACAAAGAACTTGGAAGGCTGCAGTTCTGAAGTTTTCACCCTTTGTTTGCTATGGATGCAGCCTCTGTCATTGTTTTATCAGTTTAGGCAGAGCTTCTCTCCTTGCTGTTCGGGGTTGGGGTTTTTTTAATGAATCTTTTACAAGGCAATGAATGAAAGGAAGAACGTGCCTTAAAGGAATGTATGATTCAAAACCCCTGGAAATGACCCAGAAACCGGGATCAGGTTTTGTTTGCAGAACTCTTTCCAGAACTGCTGTTTCCAGAGAACCTTCCAGTGGGTGCTAATACAGGTTTTCATTCTTTTTTGTGGTCTGAACCTGCAGTTTCCTGACATTACCTTCTGGGGATAGTTGTTGGAAATCCATCAGAATCGAAGCACTACTGAAGTTATCCCATTAGCTGAAAAAAAATTCCTCTTCAATTTATGTGTATGAAAAACTAGAAAGTAAATCTTTGAAAACTTTGGAAGTGTTAATAATCAGTGCAGACCTTGGGGAATCTATCTGTCTGCTGTTGTCTTTGCTGAGCAGCAGTCAGGTACTCCACTTATCAGAAAGAGCTATGCCACACTGAAGTTTAAAATCAAATCAGGGGCTTAAAATCCTTTACTCAGTGAAAACCCTTCTGCTTTGTTTTCGTTTGTTCATTTGTTCTGGTTTTTTAGCAGCCCAGTTCACCCAGGACTACATTTGTGGGGAACTGCATGGACTTATGCCGATGAAAATGTAGTCAGAATATCTAATGTGTCATGAGATAAGATTTAATTGAAATTATTTTATCTCTGGCTATGTTTAATCCTGACACCTTAACTCTTTGTTACCTTTATGGTGACTAAAAAAGTCACATTATTAATGGATTCCCATGTGAGATACGCTGGCCAACTGCAGTTGTTTTGGTGTTTGGACAAATATTTGTCTTCAGTAACTATTTGTAGTTTAAAATGAATGCTGGCTCTATTTGCAGCTGGACTGCTGGGATGTTGACTTGTCCTGATTCCTGAAATTCTTCCAACTGCCAGGCACCTTCTCGTCAGCCCTGACAGGAGCTGGGGATGTGATTCAGCCTCTGTGTAAACTGTAACACATGCATGGTGCACACACATAAATATATATTTGGAAAAGATACCTTTCATTTATTAGGAATAAATCCTTTGTTGTGAGGGTGCTGAGGCCCTGGCACAGGGTGCCCTGAAGAGCTTTGGCTGCCCCTGGATCCCAGGCCAGGTTGGATGGGGCTTGGAGCAACCTGGGATAGTGGAAGGTGTCTCTGTCATGGCAGGGAGTGGAACTTGATGGTCTTTAAGGTCCTTTCCAACCCAAACCATTCTGGAATTCTTCAGTAATAAGCAAATAAAATAATCAAAATGCTTTGCAGTGGTGGAAGCGGAGGAAGGGGGGCACCAGATTTTGTGGCAAGTTGCAGACAGGTGTGTATTTAAGAAAGAATGTTACAGATTAATGTCTGGTATTATATGTTCATGTAGTTTAATAAACATACTGAGGACAAGTAATGATGTTTCCTTTCTTAGCATAAGCATTTATTTGAGTGGCACATTAAGATCCAGAGTAAAGTTCTTACAGTGGTGAATTGCTGTCCCTTTCCTGGGCATTATTCATGTTTTCTTCTTACTTTACAGTTGCACATAATTTGCTATTGTTCTGTGTATTGCTGGGTTTAATTCTTGGAGCAGTTAAAATGCCTTGATGGGTACATTAGATAGGTTGCAGTGGTTTCAAGGTTTACTGAATTGCTGCCTAACTCTATGAATATTTTAAAAGATTCCTCTTGGGGGCAAAAAAAAGTGCTGCAAAGATTTAGGAGTTTCACTCCTTGTGTTAGTGCCAAGTTTAGAGCTCTCTGATTACCTGTTTGTAGTTAAAAAGATTCTACAGTTGGACTGACCTTCTGTGTGTAGTGTTAATTAAATTGTTCTAGAAAGCCAGAGCTTGTTCTTATTTATTTATTTGCTATTAATATATGCAGTTGTGTATAAGAAATTGCAATAATTCTCTGACTCTCTTTAGTAGCTGGCTGGTTAGGCTGGCTTCTGCCAGAGGATGAAGTGACAGCCTTTCCATGGTTGGGCTTTTTATGATGTGGATTGTTTTTAAACAATTTTCCCTCTGACAGAAATGGGGTGAGTAGCAATTAGCAATAGTGTATTAGCACAGCAGAGTCCAGAGAATCTTAAATGTTGCTGAATATGGTTTTCTCTTTGTTTGGGCTTGTTGGGTTTTTTTTTTTTGTGATATTCCTGTTCCCACATCTGTTAAGCACCAGTAACAAAGTACAGGAGAATGTGTATAATATGAAGTTCTAACTATAAATAATGATCTTGTTTAGTTATGGAATCTTGTACAGATCTTAATATAACCAGGAAAATATTTTCTATTAGAAGAAGCTAGACACCTTCATTCTTTAAAGATGAGTAAATAAATTAAATTAATTGTTTTGCTAGTTGTAGTGATCAGTTTGAAATGAGGTTAGAATGTTTAGAGTTATTTCTGGGTGGTGAAAACGGGAATTAGCAGCTGCTTGCTTTCATATGCCACCAGTGGTTTTTCTCCCTGCTGGAACTTTTCATTCATTGCTTGTGTTACTTGTATAATGGCAATGTTCAGTTTAACTGAGGGACATATAAGATTGGGCATGGTTAGGAAGCATAAAATGGGCTTCAGTTTTTTTGTGGTGAATGGGAGGGGGTGAGGCTTAATCCTTTCATGGCCAACATTTCAAAGATGTGAGCGAAAAGGGCTGCTGTGTTCTCAATCTGAATTTTTCTTTGAACACAATTGATGTAAAATTATTCTGTCCTCGTTCATGCCTTTTGCCAAAGCAATACCTGGGGATGTGACCTGACCTTACCTGCAATAGAAATCAGATGGAAAAGTGTAAATCTGGAGGTTCTGGTCTTGTGTAGACATCCCCTTTTCTCTTGGGGCAGAGGGGGCAGTAGCCATATACTGGCACACCCTAAATTTAACTGCTGCTTAATGAGGAGAGATAAAATGCTGCTGTTGATCCCCTCCCCATCCCCCAGAGTAGGTCCTGCTGTCTGAATTTGGGTGTCATTGCAGCAAAGGCTGAGGGTGTGTTTGTGGTGTGTCCCCCTCCTCCCCACCCCTGCGGGCAGCATAACTGGCACTACCAGCTGCTTTTTCATTTGGCTTGGGATAAAAATACACTGAACAGAAGAACATCTTCTCTTGACAGAAATACTTAGAGAAGTCATAATCTTTGGGAATACTCTGCTGTCTCTTTCTCTGTTTAGCCTTTTCCAATTAATATTTCTACAGTCTATTTCTACAGTCTCTCCCTTTGTCTCTAGTTTGTAGCTTAAACTGTTTAGTGTTGTTAAATTAGCTACTGAAAAAAATAAATTTAGACTTGGTTCTTGGCTTGTTGGCTCATTTTCCTTCTGTAAGATGGGTCCAAAGCTGTATTGGTACTTTAATACTTTTTACTAAGTATATCTTAAAGAATGCTCTTGAATATAAGAAGTGCTGTCAGTGTGATATTTTCTAGTGAGATTAAAATATTGCATTTTAAATGGTGTTTAAACAGACTTTTTTCTACTCTTTACTAACCAAGTACTTAGGATCTTTTGTATAAAACTACTTTTAAAAGTTAGTGAAGAGTCAATGACTCAAATCACATGGAAAGTATACTTGTTTTAATCCTATTAGTTGCAAGAATGGCTGCAGGGATGTGGAAATTCTTCTGATGAGGGAATGATTGCGGTATTTGGGGATGGAAGCATTAGAGAGGCTCATCTTGTAACTGTATTTGAGCAGAAAGCCGGTGATGTGATACTGTAAAGGTGTCAGGGATGTCCTGTTCACAGCACAAGTATCAATTCCAGATACAAAATACTGTGACAGCCAGTGGCTGATCCTGCTGTTTCACAAGGTGATGGGAGCCCCTTAACCTGGCCTGTGCTTGTCTACAAGACTTGAAAATCACATCACAAATTCCTGGTGGGACTGTGATAAATCACACTGACACCACAGAGCTGAACTTCATCTGCCAGAACACAGTGTTTTCTGACTAAAAGCTTGTTGCCTGTAAACTACTTATTCAGCTGCCTTTGCTTGAAAAAAGTGTGACATGATTTAAGACTATTGTTGAAATTTCCTGGCTTGTTCATTTGCTCAGATTTGGAGCATCTCAGTCTTCCTTAGAGCTCAAAATGACAAATGACTTTACCTGGAGAAAGCTGTGATTTGCTTTTTTAAAGTTGTGGCCATTTGTGTACAGTGGGGTGACAACATTCACTGGTTTGGTGTAACTTGAGATAAAGTTCCACCTCATGAGGTACCCATGTATAACATTGCCCCTTTTTTAGATGTGTTTTGAAATACTTTTATTAGTATTTTGAATACTTTTGAAGTGGAGACTGCTCCATTTTAAAGTACTCCAGTGTACGATTGACAAGTATAAATGAACGATTTATTGGCACAAGGTCACTCCAGCCATCTGTTTTAGTCAGGGAGCTTGGGAAATGATCCGTTACCTACATGTGTGTCCTTATCAGCAGCTGAGCTCGCCTTATCAGCCTTGCCCTTATCTGGTGGCAGGGTTTGTTCGTGCCAGCACAGTGGCACGAAGTTTGAAATCCTCTTACCTACTCAACGTTTAAACTGGGGTTTTCCCCATTTGTCTGCAGAGGTATTATTGAGCCTAACTTCCAGAACCCATCAATAGTCTCTCCAAAAGTGTGTTTTGTGATCTCACCAGGCCGCAGATTTTCCTCTGGCAATATCAGAAACTGCTGTTGAGGTTTTTACTGGTCCAATATAGTGGTATTGCTCAAGGAAAATAAGAAGAAAATAATTATTTTCACTGGTGTGGGATGGGAATCAGGGAGAAGAGAGCTGACAAAGTTTTTGTGGAGCGAAAAAGAAGAGACTCGTGTTTCTGCTGCTTTAATTCTCAAAACAGGTTTTGCTTGCAGTTGCTCTAGGGGTGTGGCCATGCATCTCTTTTGTTAACAAGACTTTAAACAACTAATTCATGTTGCTTAGGAAGCTGGTGAATCTATTGCTAACCATAGCTGAGACTATGTCCTGATAGAAATTGAGGGATAGCAAGGCCTGTTTGAAAGATGTCTTCTCAGAAATGAAGGAATAGATTCCTTGGAGTGAGCTGCTTCCCCATACAGTGTTGCTAATGTAGTCATTGAGTCAAATCAAAATTTTAATGATTGCTAGAAAGGGAAAAAGGAGTTGGTCCCTTGAAATTCTTAACAGAGTGGAAGGCTGACTTAGTTTACGTGGATGTGTGGCTTTAAACCTTTGGAAAGGATGGTGTCACTCTGAGTGTTGTTCATCTTCTAAACAGTGAGCGCTTTGAGGAAGGAGTTGAAGCTTGGGAGTCTGCGCAATGTAGGGAAAAAACCCAACAAAAAAGCACAAACCAAAATCCTAACCCACAACAAATGCCAGTTCTGATTTTACGAAAAGCATAGATCCATTCTGCTTTCAGTAAAAAACAGCTTCCCTCACCCCAATTCTCTCTATTCTATTATTATCCAAGTCTTGCTCACACTACCAGCCAGTTTTAAGTCTGCAGGTTTAGCATTTTGCCAGCATTAGGCTAGAAAGGAAATAGCATTTAAATCTAAGCACTTCAGTGATCAAACTCTGCTGGCTGCTTGACCTGAAGTTTCATTGGGACTATTCAGTTATGATCACTGAAAACTGAGGGTGAGATGTTTTATGTTCTGCAGTGATGATTACTGCAATGTTTCAGCCAGCTTGTTGCTACTGAAATGCCAGCTGGGAGTGTGGTGCCGTATTATCACCTTTGAATTTGCAATCAGTGCCAGGTTAAGTAAGCTGGCACTAAGGTGGCACTAAGAAAAGTGACCTTGGGCAGTTCTTCAACTGCAGAGTGATATGTTGCAAATGACAAACTGGTGGAAATGTTAACTCCTGCTGTGACTTCGTTAAATGTAAATATTCAATAAAGTAATATATATATAGGTAATTACAGCATTATCATTTAAAACAGAGCGATGATCTGTGCTCCTTGGCTAATGCCTAAAAATGTTTTGAATAGAATTTAAAGGCTTAAATTAATTACTGTGTGTTCAGAATAGAGAAGAATCATTTCTGTGCAAGATTCTACCTATAATAAATAAAACTTTAGCAGCTTTTGAAGGGTCACAGTACAAAACCATGGTTTTGTGAAAACCATCTAGTTTGAGGTAATTACACAGCTTAACCTGTGGACAGTTCTTTAATGGGCAACTGCAGCACCTTTTGGTGCTTTTCAGACTGAGTGCAGACTGTTCCCATGCACAGCTCCTCTGTTCTGTTTGAAAACTTAGTGATGTTCTGGACATATACCTGGTGTGATAAGGAAGAAATAAATTGAACCATTTCTTAACCTCTTTCTGGTTTTTCTTTATTAGTGATCATGAAAGGTGTGTGGCTGACAGCATTGCAGACAGAAGCTCAGGTCATTCACAGAACAGGTGCTGTAAATACAACTGCAGTGTAAAAACAATTCTGTGTGTAAACTTGGTATATGTCAGTCTTGCCTTCCGGGGGGAAGTGAAAAACGTATTCTGGCTTGGAGTGGGAGGGAAGAAACCCTTGCTGATAATATTAGGTGTGATCTAAAGCCAGATTTGTTCTTCCACTGGGAAGGGTTTGGAAACAAGCCCTGTGTGAAACAAAAATTGATTCATTTTGTGGTAGATAGGTCAATATACACCTGAATCCTTCTGGTGCTGATCCATGGGAAGAAGCCATTTTAAAAGCCTGGCTTAGATTTGCTCCCACTTAGCACTGTGCAGCTGACCAGTTGTTATCTGCACATTGTTGCATTTAATACTTTAAGCAGTTTTTGCACTGCAGAGTTTGTGATCACAAAGCACACGAGTGAACACAGAGTGTGTTGTGCTGCTCAGGCTGTTTTTGGTGTGCTCAGGCTGCCCAGGAGCAGCAGCTGCAGCAGCCCTGCTTGAGTTTCTCAGGAGCTGCAGCCTAGCCACATTGCCAAGTCTTAAAGCCCAAATTTCTTGGAGTGCAGCAATGCAGAGCCCAGGGCAGTGAATTCCTGACCTGGTCACAGGATTGGAGAAGGTTCTGGAGGTGTGTATTTTCTCCAAATTTTAGTCATAGGCAAAGGACTGGAAAGGTGGTTTGAGGATGAATTGCTGTAAGGACTCAGGAGTGGAGGGATTCCAGGGATCTTTTTGCATTTTATTCAAAACCTTACTTCAATTTACTGACCTGGAGAGGAAATTAAAAAAGTAAGGTAAGAGAATGCTCTGACAGTCTAATTACTGAGGTCTTCTGCAAAACTGATTAATGTCTTTGTGAAAAACATGAAGAAAACCCTGCTCATGACTCATTGGCTTTCTGGAAACTCTTACAGCTTTTATTGCAGGTGTGGAAACCCTGACAGTCCTCTCAGTATTAAATGGGCACTTGTGTGGAAAAGAAATAGGAGAGATGAGAGATTTTATATGGAAAGGGAAAAGTTCACTCATCTGCTGTCTCTTCTCTCCTAGTCTGGTAGAAAGACCTCAATGAAGAACTTCCTGAAGTTTTAACCTCCACATTCATGTCAGTACGTGCATCATGGCACAGCAAGGAAATGTTGGTGAGCTCCTCTCAATGCTGGATTCTCCAATTCTGGGTGTCCTGGAAGATATAACAGCTGCATTCAAAGATAATCTCATTTGTGGTATGTATCCTTTTGTGTAGTTCTGGAAATTGTTTTGCTTTTACATCAATAAAAGTAGAATAGTGTGGGTTTTTTTCTATCAAACACTGTCTTTGCAAATGCAACTTGAAAGAAACTCTTGATATTTGGGTTTGAAACTGCTCTAAGGAATGAGAGTTCAGTCCATTTTGCTTAATGGTATGGCTCCTGGAAGGTCTGTTACATAATTGTTAAAACTATTACAAAATGACTGGCTTTTCCTGAGGCAGAGTTTCAAGTGTGAGCTGATGAAAGTTTCTTTGTAAAGCGTATCTATAAAGAATTAGGTGTCACCCAATGTATAGGAACCAGTGAGATTTTGTTAATAATAATAAAAAAATAGCAAAAAAACTCTAGGCCCATACAAAACAACAGACTCAGACTTTGTGGAAAGTGGTTGCTGCTGTTGAGGCATCACTTGTGCTGACAGAGCCTTTTCAGAGCACGAGAGCGCTGCCCTTGTCCTTGTCCCTGACCTTGCTCTCCTTCATGTGCTGAAGGGAGAGAACATCAAGTCACTCCTGAACACTTTACTGGGTAAAGCACCCTTGCAGCTCAGCTACCTGTAGGGTTTTATGGTTAGACAGGAGTTGTTGGTTGTTAAAAATCCCGGTTCCTTTCCCTGAGCTGAATGCAATCACTTGAATGGTTTGGAAGCAGGAAATGTAGTTGAGAGGTCTCATTTTCCCAAAGGTCTGCTAAACACCAAGGACTGCTTTATGTTAGAAATTGTGTAATAGTTGCTTAAAAGTTCTGCACGTTGTAGCAAGTGCTTCTCTTTTAGTGTATTGAGAATGTTTTGGGTTTTTTCCTTGCTGTCCCCAAACTGACAGACCGTGGGCCTATGCTTGTCAACAACCTTGTGGACTATTACTTGGAAACCAATTCTCAGCAGGCACTGCATATTCTGTCCACTCTGCAAGAGCCTCATGACAAGGTAAAAAAAAAATCTTGTTATGTCAAATTTTAGCCTGGTATTGAAGCAGCCTTTAAATAGCATCCATTAAAACTCTAGGGGTTCCACTCTGGTGTAGAATTACCTTGCTGTAGAGATGTAGTATCTCTGTAGTAAGAGTGGTTTAAGCTTTAAAAAAAAAATCTTGAGAGGTCTCTGTTTCTTGAGTTGCTTACACTGACCCAATTACGCAAAGAACCTCTATAACAGAAAGGGTTTGGAGGATTAATGTTGTCTCTTTACAGTGCTCCTGCTGCAGAATGTGTTAGCCTAAAACAAATAGGGTATTTTGAGAGCAAGTAAGGATTTTAAATAGGTTGGAAATGGCACTACAAATTGGCTGCTGCCCAGATTTATTTTTTTTTATTATTTACTTATAAAACATTTCAAAGTGCAGGGACTGCTTCTGGCCTGTGTAGTTTGTATTTGTCTACCAGTAGTCTCAAAGTTATTGCAGGGTTCTATATCCTCTGGGATCCTGTATATTTATAAAATGCCCATAGTTTCCATGTTGACAAATTGCTGAATATAGACTGGTGAAAAAGAGTGTAGAGCAGTTAAATATAAATACCTTTCTTTTTCTGCCACTCTCTGCAAAATCCTTTATCAGCATCTACTGGACAAAATTAATGATTATATGGGCAAAGCTGCTACTCGTTTACCCACCCTCTCTCTGCTGGGACATGTGATAAGACGACAACCATCTTGGAAACACAAACTTTCTCAAGCACCTCTCCTGCTTTCATTGCTTAAATGTCTCAAGGTAAGAACTGTCAGTGCTGTCTATAAAACACCTGATGTAAACTTGCATACAGATGCAAGGCATTTGATTCCTGTTTTGGTGTCATTTAGTTAAGCCACAGTGCTATTAATACCAGCTGAATACTCTGTGCTGATGTTGTTATTGCTGACAATCTTGTTTCTAAAAGCCGCTATCACTGTGAGTTAGGAGTGTTTATTAAAAGTTCTCCAAAATAAGTTAAAGACAAGAGGGCCCTTGGTGAAGTTGGTGGATATCTTGAATGTGAATCTAGTGAGAAATACAGTAACTTCCCACTGGTGCAGTTTGAATTTGAGTGTCCTCTACTTGTAGTGTAGATGGGCCATGCAATAGACTATTCCCTGGTGAAATTACCTTGGAAGTAGCAGACTTTCTCTTCTTAGATACTGACATGCTGGACTACAAGGAGGTAGCTGTTTCCCCCAGGCTTTGTGGGTTTTTTCCCTGATCTGCAGATTGATCAGGTGTAATACTGTACAGTACTGTACCAGTGAATAAGGAATGAAAAGTGCTTTGAGACCTAGAATGCATTGTCGGTAATGGAATTTATTATGATAGTGAAGAATCCACATGTGGTCATGAAGTCACATTTAAATGCACAATGCAGTTAGGTGCCAGCACTCTTCAAAACAAAACCACCACAAATTTGTAACTGCCAAAGAAGCAGCTCCAGCTCCTGTTACTGGAAGTCCTGACATGCCTGACAAGATCTGTTGCCCTTTGCAGTGTGACTGAGGGAGGAGTGAAGTGAGTCAGAAGGCTGCTGGGAGTAGAACAGAGATGTGGAAGTGCTGGGGATGTGGACAGAGGGTAGGGATGGACAGGAAATGTGTTCTGATAGGTTTTGTGTGACTGAGGTAGAGTAGTGGCTGTAGACACACAGAAGAGGATAAATCCCTAAAAACTGACTGTCCCATCAGCCTGAGTGGCTCCTGGGAGATACCCAGAGATTTCAGCAGCACCTGCCCACAGCGTGACCTGTGCTCTGTGCACCCTGTGCTGACAAAGGACAGGGGAGCTACCAGGGAAAATGTGCATTAAACTGAGAAAGCAAGGAATGAGTTTGAACATTTTCTGTGTCCTTTCCTAAAATCTGATTCTCTCTTCCTGTTTCATCCACCCAAAGGTTTGTACTGCCACGTCCCTTTCTTGTGGCACAAGCCAAGGCATTCTAGTCATAGTTTGAATTACTGCTGGGTGAAATTACCAGCAGCCAAGTCTAGTAGAAAAGCTTTTGACCCCTATGTTGGTAACTGGCCAACATCCTTGAACACCCTGATCTGATGTGCAGTTTCTGAGCCTCTCAATGCTGTGTGTGTTTAGCTCTGGGAAGGAAGGAAGGTGGCACATAAGATGCTTCACATTCCAGTAATTGTTTTTACTCAGCTGTGGGACTGTGGTGATGTTCCCTTTTTAACTAAGCCAAGTGTTTATACAGAAAAGCAGCAGAGTAGGAGCAAGAATCCCAAATCTATTTTTTCTTCAAGCTGTTCTGTATGAAAAAACTCAATAATCTTGGATCATTAAGTTCTGGTAGGTTTCAGAGGGACTGTTTCAATAGAGAACATTTTCCATGATGATGGTTCAATGTTCACTTCATCCTTGGAAAAAAATAAGTTCAACACATTCAACTAATGCAGGTTTTTTCCCTTCTTGCAGACTGACACAGATGTAGTAGTACTCACCACAGGTGTCCTAGTGCTAATAACCATGTTGCCAATGATTCCTCAGTCTGGCAAACAGTACCTTCATGATTTCTTTGGTATCTTTGGGCGTCTCTCAGCCTGGTGCTTGCAGAATCCAGGTGAGATTTCAACTTTGTTGCATGCAGTTGTGGTTTAGCAGTACCCTTGTGACTCGTGTGAAGTTGGTGAGCACGTACTTCTGTGAGAGTCTTAATGGTCTGAGATTATTTAAACACAGAAAATTACATGTTAAGCCCACAAGCTGTTCTGTTCTTTGAGATCATGGGTGAGTTCTTTGCTCAGAATTTAGAAGTCTCAGAATCTTCCATGTGATGCTGCTACTGCATGAAATTTCACTCAACCAAAGTACTGCCCTGATGACAGTGAAAAGCAGATTGATCTTAATGGAGAGAGAAGGAGAAGTGCTAATGTTTGAGGCAGATTTTGGGGAATTTGATATTCCCAAATATAAATGGGGAGGGGCAAGAAGCAACATAAAGAAGAATTTATTTTAATGTGCAACTGTCAGTAGTCATGAAGGTTGATAAAATTGGTTTTCTCAGAGCCCTGGCTTTGCTGAATTTGTTGTAAGGGGTCTGATATCTAACACCAGCAGTATCTGTGAGTGTGGCTCGTGGCTGAATGAACAAATGCTGTGTTAAGCACATAGAGCTGCTATTTAGAGAGCCGTTCTGCATTGCAAGTAGGATTGGAACTTCTGAGGTGAATACTAAGGTTTGTCTGTTGCGATTGCTTTTGGTCAAGCTTTTAATTTTTACCTTTTGAAGTGAAACAAACCTTAGTTTCCTTTTTTAATCGTTCAGTCTTACTCTGGCTCACTATCTAGAGGAGTTTCAGGTTTTAACTTGAATAAAAGCAAAGCTGTGTTTTGAGAATGACAGCACACTGGTTGGAATTAATGGTCCTTATCTTAATTTCTGGGTTTGCTGTGAGCTGATGACTAAGTGTTGCTTGTTTTCTGAGAAGATTTCACAGTTTCACTAGGGACTATTTGTATCTCAGAAGACTTGTTCCAGTTAACATTTCAAATTTCAAAGTACTACACTTGAATTCTTAAAACTTTTGTTCTTTTCTCCAATGTAATGAAAAAGATTCTAACTACTTTTTCAGGTCATGTGGCAGAGATTTATCTTGTCCATCTTCATGCCAGCGTTTATTCTCTCTTTCATCGTCTTTATGGAATGTATCCTTGCAATTTTGTCTCTTTTCTGCGCTCTCACTACAGTATGAAGGAAAACCTGGAGACCTTTGAAGAAGTAGTCAAGGTAAAATGCTGTTCATTTGTGTATTATCTGAGGCAAGGAATTTATAGCTACATATTCCAGTTTAATACAACTAATTTGCCAGTTCAGCTGAGGGCTGTTCAACAAAACACTATAACAATGAGGGCTGAAAGCTCAGTTGGGATCAACTCTTGAAGCTGTGGTGATGTGTATTAACCTTATCTGTTAAATGTTACTTTCTGAACTATTGGGATCAGTAGTTTGTTAATCAGCTTTGTGTGGTTTAGTGCAATCCAAAGGTGCTGCACTGATAAAAGTCCTTCTTCCTTCCAGCCAATGATGGAACATGTGCGAATTCATCCAGAGTTAGTGACTGGATCCAAGGACCATGAACTGGACCCACGAAGGTATTATATGTTCTCTCTGTTATTAGGAAAGGCTCAAATTGAGCAGCTTTCTGTGGGGTTATTTCAGAAGGTTGCAGCAAAACCTTTTCTGTCAGCAACAGTTTGTGCGGGGGTGTTTTGCCACCCAGATTTTTAGGTGCACCAGGTAAACATGTAGACTTTCCTCATCCTAGCTTACAGCTGGATGAATAAGCAGAAACTGTTGTGAAAGGTCATAAACAACAATGTTGGGGTTCTAAATTAATTTTGTGTCTGGGGTGGCATCTGTCTTCTACTTTATGACTTGATGATCAAACATTCTCATAAAGATCTGAAACAGTTTGCTTGTAATGAATAAAGTGAAACTGCCAGAAATGCTTCATTGGCTGAAGGTTTGGGTCATATATATCCTTGGGTTTCTTGAAGTATTTGATGGGATTGAAGTGTTTAAAATGGCTTCAGCGTGTCTTGTTTTGGTACCTAGATATTGGTTCATTTAACAGATCAGTTCTTTTAACAGGTATGTGTTAACATTATCAGCTGTATTAGTTTTCTTTAGCAATAGGCTCATTTGCCTGCAGCAGCACCACTTGCTGCTTTTCTCTTGTCTCCACAGGCCCAGCCACTGAAGAGGAGAATTTGACTCTTGTTGCTGCACAGTAGTGCTCTTGCCCTGCTTTTCAGAGCCACTAAGAAATCACTCCTAACTGGGAACCCATTGAGTGTCACAATGCTCAATTTTGCAGGGGGGAGGGTGTCACCACTCAGGAGCACAATTGGCACAAACCTACCAGTGGAAGCCTTCTGTTTTGGTATCTTGGATAGACAGCCTTCTGGGCTTTCTCTTCTTTGCAGTGAACTTCCATTCCCTAAAAAACTGGGCAGATCTAATCTGGCTGTCTAATTCAGTGAGAAGTAGTTTTCAGGATGAAGGAGGTAGTAAAAGTAAAAAACATTCCCCAAACTTGGGAGGAAAAACACAGATCTGAAACTGGCATTGCAGAGAGTGTTTGCTTAAATAATACAGATTCCCTCACTGCTGGCATGTCTAAATTTTGACTACCAACATCTGAGTGTAGTTGAGCTGATTTCTACAGCTGCTGAAGCTCAGGATCAACCAAGTCTTCGTATGCTGTTCCTCCTTTCCAGAGTGCTCCATGGCAGACCTTTGTGGATCTCTGTGTCAAAGCTGTTTGTCTCCTCTTTGAGACCCCCTCTCACAAGTCATCTGGTTGCAATTTCTGTCTGGTGCCTTGTTCCAGTTTGGCTGGGAGCATGCAAAGCCACCTGGAACAAATGAACCATCCTGCAAGACAATTCCTCCTATCTCCAGGAACTCTTGTTTTTAGCAATAATTGACTAACTTACTCTTTTGGATCCAAAAACTGTCTGCAGGTGGAAAAGACTAGAAACTCATGATGTTGTGATAGAATGTGCCAAAATCTCCCTGGACCCTGCAGAAGCCTCGTATGAAGATGGTTATTACTCTGTGTCTCGGAAACTCTGCACAAGCTTAAAACATCATCAAACTGACCCCAGTGCCAGCTCTTACATTGACACACAGAGCAGCTATGGTAAGACCTGCCTAATGGCTAATCAATACCCAATTGCTGGAGGAGAACTGGCCCTAGAGCAAAAAAACCCTCACTAATTTATCCCACTTAAAGTCTGATTCTTAGGCACCAGAAGATAAACTCTCATTAAAAAAATATATATACATAGATATATTTTCTATGTGCAGACATGCAGTGTGCTTTCAACATTGTCTCTTCATCCCCTGTCCTCCCTATCCCAAAACAACCGAAAAAAAAAGAAGGCTGTAGTATAGTGTATTCAATAGATAATTTCTTGGGCTGGAAGAAAAGGCTCTAGTTACAAATGTGTGTGCTAAATGGATTTGAAAAGCTTTGATTAAAAGTCTTTAGGTACTAGCCAGAAGAATCGTAGGTTTGTATTTGATGTGTTGGATGCTTTGGAATTTTGATTTTCTCTTTTATTTAACTTTCAGGGACTTCTACCCCATATTCCACTCCTCGGCTGACACTATCACAAATGCCAGGACAGCTACCTCAGATTCTGAGCCCACAGTCCACGAGGCTGTCAACTGAGCCACAGCAGGTAAAGCAGAAGATGAAGCCCAGCAAGTTTTCATTCTCTGTACTTTCATAGTTTCTTGTGCCAGTCTTAAAAATCCATGGTTTTGAGCTGTGCTGTGAACAGTTCAGAAGTTGGTGTTCATTTCACATTTAATCTCTGCCTGATTTTCTGTGTGAAAACCTGGATCCAGGTGCTTCACATGTTCCTTTTGTGAGCTCTGCTGTGTTTCACTCTGTGCACAGGTCACCATCTGGAGCCCTTCTGCAGTGTGCGGTATGACCACGCCACCAACATCCCCCGGTGTTGTCCCATCAGAGTCATCCCAGTCTGCATCACAACCCTACAGCAAAGCTTTTGGCACATCTGGTACGTGCTGCATTTTAGAATTAGGTCTTCAATGTTTGTGTTAGTGGAAATTCTGGCTGTAAATTTTAGTGGAAATTCTGGCAGTTTTTAAGTGGGAATGCCACATCATGCCAGCTGATAGGCTTGAGTGATTACTCCTGTGAACTGAGTACCTCACCTAGGGTAGCACTGATGCAAGCTGAGAGGAAATCTGAATTCAGTGCCAAAGTCTGAAACAGCTTTTGGGAAATGGCAGTTTTGTGTTGATAAACAGTTGAAAGAGATTTAAGAAGTAAATGCTATGAGGTGGTATTTTAAATGTACGATTTTTCACATACAATGTTCAGCTGAAAGGAGGAAGGGGGAGGCTGCTGAGAGAACTTGTGCTCCTTTTCAGCAGGGGGGAAAGGAACACCTTTGGGAACACCAGCCACATCTCCTCCACCCTGCACTTCAGATGATTTTGTGCATGTTTCACTCCCTTCAGTTGCTGCCACACCTCCTAAAAAGGTATTACAAAATTCTTCTGGTGATCTAATCTGTTTTTTTTTCATTGACTTGACTTAATGCAGTGACCTTAACTGAGAAAGAAAAATCAGAGTAGGTGGTTTATAAAAAATTTTGCATTTCACTGCAAAAACTCTTCTAAATTCTAAAATCTAAAATAAGCTATTGCTACTTCCAGCTGCACAGTTGCCAATGCAATCTAAGGCAATTATTGTGTTCTGGGTTTCTTCTGTTTTCCAGGAGGACAAACCAGATTCTGGGAGGCCTTTACTGTACCGACAGCAAAATGTCATGAACAGCGATAAATCATTGGGTAAACTCCATTTTCCTCTCCCCATTACTAAAACCTATTGTAAACAACTCCGGTTTTTACTGACGCTTGTTCCAATTCCCAAACACTTTTCCACAGGCTTTTTTTTTTACCTTGAATTCTTTGTAGTTCCAGGATCCTGCCTTAACCTGTGATTCAGCTTAAAACCTTTTTGTGATCCTTCTGATTTCAGTTTAACTATTCATGTTCAGAAATAGCTTGAGATTTTTTTTTTTACCTTGCTCTGATGCATATTTAAAAATACCAGTATATACTGAAGGCTGAAAAGGGATATTTATTTTTATAAACTCTGATTCTTTGAGGATGATTATTAGAAGCAGCAAGTTGTATATTAAATTTTGCCTCAGCAAATTATCTGTCACATGTCTGGATCAAACTGTAAGGCTGCGTGTAAGGGTAGATATGCTACTCCTTAAAGGCCTCTAGAAAAACTTAGTTTTCTGTCTACAATTACATTGCTGTAATTGAACCTATTTTAAAGTCCTGTGGAATACTGAAATCAGTAGGTTGAGGAACTCAACTTTTAATAGGTAAATGTAGATTCCATTTTCCATTCTCTGTTATCTACCTCTGTGACGGTTGTAGAAAGGGATTTTGGAACTGTATTTGAGACTTCTGTGCTGTGAATCTTTACCATCTTCAAAGTGGAGATGATAGTGAAATTTAAAGCTGGTTTTCCATGAAACATGAAATAGAACAGGAATCAAATACTTTCCTCCTCTGAGGAAGCATCTGAAGGACGACAGTCTTTTATTCTGAGGACCTTGCAGCAGTAAAAGACTTATGTTTTGTGCTGTGCTAAGGCTGGAGAAAACAGCACCTGTACAACTAATATTTTGTTTTCTGGTTGGTTTTTTTCAGACATACCCAGTAGTAAAAGTTCAGTAACCCTAAGTGATCTTGCAGAGTTTTTAGGTGGGTTGTCGTTTGAAGATAGTGCTGAGAAGGACAGAGAGGAAGGTAATGTCTGCCCTCCTTACCTACATCTTAGCTAAGGAAATGTTTGTCCTGTTGAAATACCAGATGCATCATGATGCTTCCCTTCTCCTCAGATGCAATATCTAAAGAGATCTCCGAGATCACGACCGATGCTGAACACATGGTGCCTAGAGGAGGATTTGACTCCCCGTTTTACCGCACAAATGAAAGTCTGTCAGGCTCTCAGAAGAAGACCCACTCAGCAGCCTCCAGTGTTCAGGGACACAGTCAGACCTCTGAGCCTTTAACATCTCTGGACAAGCCTGGGCCTGAGGGTGCACGGGAAACACCCAAACAAACGTTTACTCCCATAGACAAGCCCTGTGGAGGCTGTGGGGAAAGCCCTGCTGGGAACAGGGAAGGAACCTCTGCGGAGCCAAGTATTCTCACTCCCAGCCCTTGTAAAGTACCAGCACAAAGGAGAGTGGTATTTGGGAGTGGGCAGCGTCCCCTCTACGAGCACCTCTTTGAGGTTGCATTACCAAAGACTGCCTACCTCTTTGTTGGCAAGAAGACTGAAGAGCTGCTAAAGAAAGCCAAGGGAACCCAGGATGAAGACTGTATGTCCTCAACTTCTCCCATGGAAGTGCTGGACAGGCTGATTCAGCAAGGAGCAGATGCACACACTAAGGAGCTGAACAAGTAGGTGACTGAAAATCTTACACTGCATACTTTATTGTTACTTTTTTTGCACTGACTTAATTTTAAGCTGTGCTGGAAAAGCAGCTGCACAATCCTTCCCCAATATTTTTATACCAGCTGACCTTAATTGTACTTTTATCAGGATATAAGCTCTTTGGAGGTGAGCATTACATTTTTTTACTTAAACTTACCTGTTAATGCTGCATTTTCTTTTTTCAGATTGTCTCTGCCAAGCAAATCTGCTGACTGGACTCACTTTGGAGGTGAGGAAATTTCTCATGTTTTGACAATCTGTTCCTCTATTATTAGACTTGCTTAAACAATGACCTGTATACTTTTTGCTTTTGGGTTTTTAACTAATGCTGCAAAAAGATGCCTTCCACTAAGTCATGGTTTATCTGATTAGAAAATAGCTGTGTTCCAGAGAGATGAGCTGCTTTTTTCATCTTTGAAAAGTGCAAACTTCTAGACACTTCTGCTTTTGACCATTTCAGCCTTGCTAAGATTCAGAGTGCTGCTGGTCATCTGGCAGATCCTTGCACCTTCTCACTGTTCATTGAATCTAAAACTGATTGTTTTTCTTGCTTATTTATGTGTTCATGTCTTAGTTTTGTGTTCTGAGGCTTCTGTGGTGATGGTGGCTTGGCTTTTTTTCCTTAACCAAAGGAGCAATCCATTTGAGGCATATATCCATTGCTTTGGGAAAAATGTTTATGATTTTGTGTTGGAGATCAAATAAAGCAGAGAGTGCAGCTCAGTAACCTCTTCTGTCTCCCACTGCAGGTTCTCCCCCCTCAGATGAGATTCACACCCTGAGGAACCAACTGCTTCTGCTGCACAACCAGCTGCTGTACGAGCGCTTCAAGAGGCAGCAGCACGCGCTGCGCAACCGCCGGCTCCTGCGCAAAGTCATCAAAGCCACGGCTCTGGAGGAGCACAACGCTGCCATGGTGAGCAGGGACACAGCTCCACCAGGAGCTGAGAAACACTGGTACTGCTATAAGTGTTAATTGGCCTGGCTGGTGTCTTTTGGTACTGCTCAATTAACAAAGAAACTTCATTTGTCGCTTTATTGAAGTCGGTGTTTGTGGAGTGACTTGCACACAAATTCTGTGTGCTGTCATTATCAATGGCAGTAGTTTGTAGTTGATTGCAGACAGCTGAATCCTTCTGCTTGACCCCTGCCAGCACTTGCCTTTGGATACTTGTAAAGGCTTCTCTGTTAGTGGAGTGGTTGTTCAATGGCTAAACACCTTACTGCATATTTGATAAAGTATTGTCCTTTTGCACCTCAGATGAGGACTAGTAGCAAAAGCTTTGAAAACTCAAGTGGTGTTTTCCTGAGGTGTTCACTGTGATAGAATTTGAAGATACAAGTGCACTGAAGGAGGTCTCAGTACAGATTTAGTTGTGTTTCATAATATATTTTCATGTTATAGCTAATTCCATCAAGTTTCACCTTTTGATAATTGACTACAAAAGCCAAAAATAGTCTTCCAAGTACGTTTTGGAAGATGAACTGTTGCTTCAGTTGTGAGGCCCAAGTCCCTATTGAAAGCATGAGAGGCAGTGGAAAAACAGACTATTGCTCATTGTGCCTTTGAATATGTCTGTGAGTTTTCAGCCTGTCCATTCTTAACACTAGTTCATCTCCTTTTCAGCCAAGACCAAGCCAAGCCCCAACAGCCTTGAGAATATGCTTTGTATAAAATGTTGTGTGTGTGTGGAAAAGTGTTTTCCTGCATGCTGGTAATGACAGCTTTGCTTGGCTGAGCATAGATGCCCTAACTGCTGAGCAGTTATCTTATCTGATACCTCATGTGGGATTCTTAACAGAAAGATCAGCTGAAACTGCAGGAAAAGGAGATCCAGGCCTTGAAACTGAGTCTGCAGAAAGAACAGGCAAGGTACCACCAGTTTCAGGAAGAACATGATAATATTGTGGCTCAGCTTCACAGCCAGATCCGACAGCTGCAGCATGACCGGGAGGAATTCTACAACCAGAGCCAGGAATTGCAGGTATGAAGCATCAACAAATTTGTTGTCTACTTACTGGTTTTAAAAATAACCTTCTTCATAACAAGACATGAAATACCTGAGAGAAAGCTGCACATTTTTATTAGAGATATTGTCCTGATTCAGAATAAGACAGTGTATACTTGAAAGTGCTTAACTTAGTATTGTCCTTTCGTAGTTCTGTTTTGTCCTGTCTTTGCTTGGAAATAGGAAAAGGCAGGTTCTTAGCTGGATTGGAGGGGTCAGTATAACTTGATTTCCAGTGCTGGGGGTTTGCTCCCAGCCCTGTGCCCTTGCTGTCCTTAGTGAAGTTTCAGAACCCTGAGTAATTTCTTTTGTCACTTGAACAGACCAAGCTGGAAGACTGCAGGAACATGATAGCAGATCTGAGGTTAGAGTTAAAGAAGGCAAACAACAAGGTGTGTCACACTGAATTGCTGCTTAGCCAAGTTTCTCAAAAGGTAAGAAAAGTCAGTGTTCCCAGGGACCCTTTGTGTCTTTCTGATTATTTTTTATTTGATAGTTTTCATCAGGTGCTTTTTCTTTCTTGATCTGAAAGAAGCCTGTGCTGAGCTCCATAGAGTCTGATATGAATTGCACAAAAACAACACAGAAAAATGTATTTTGGTGAAGAAACTCTAAATTCACTTAAAGGGCTTCTGAAATTTCTTATTTTGGCTTTTTCCACAGCAGGGATTTGCCAATTGCTCATTATGAATTCGTATTAAGACTCTGCTTGACAACTGAGAGATACTGTTTATATCCTAAGTTGAATGGAAATGAAAAGTACTTTATAAAAACAATTTATTTAACACTTAACTACCTATGATGTGTTAGATTTTAGCCTTTGTTTCCCTTCTTTATTAAAATACCCTGTGAACACAGTGCCTGTCAGCTGTGACTCTCCTGCTGAGCTGTTCATCCCAGTGCTGGATTCTGTTCTATTTCCTTTCCCAGCTTTCCAACAGTGAATCAGTGCAACAGCAGATGGAGTTCTTGAACAGGCAGCTGCTGGTTCTTGGGGAGGTCAATGAGCTGTACCTGGAGCAGCTGCAGCACAAGCATACAGACACTACAAAGGTACCAGTGCAGAGGACTTGTGGGGAGACTTCTCTTGAGGTCATCATCCAGAAGTTCCCAGCCCTGAGTTCAGAAGGAAAGGCTTTGTAACTTAACAGATTCTTTGTTCTGAAATGGATTTTCAGGGATGTGATTTTATATTGGATGTTCTGTTCAGATGTTTTGTGCCCTGTAGGTTTGAGGAATATCTTCAAGGCTGCTTCTGAAAGCTAAGAAGTGGTTGTTGGGATACACCTGGGATCTCTTTTAGCCAACTGATGTAAATTCTTAGCAGTTTCTTTTCCAAAGGCCAAAACATTACTGTGTTCAAATGTAACTGACAGCAGATTGTTGGTAAAATAATTCAGGGTAGTACCAGAATTCGTGGAAAGATCTTAAGAAGGATTTTACGGGTTTTTGTGAGGTGTTACTTTAAAATGAGCATCTCAGCCTTCCCACTCAGTCATTTTCCTATTAAAAGTTAACAGTAACTTCACTAAAACTTCTGTGGTTCATATGGTTTTACTTCCTGACTTCAAAGAAACCTTTTTCTAATTAGAAGCAAGTAAATTACACAACAATATAACTGTTCCTGCGTGAGAGCACATAATTAAAGAAGGTGAATAATATCCTGAAAAAAGTCTTCTACTGGTATTTAATGAAGGCTGTGTTGGAAAAATTGATTTAAAATAGAATTTGTCTACTCTAATCCAGTGCAGAACTGGCAAGAGTGCTTTGATGAAAAGAGGTTTTCATAAGGAACATTAATCTGCTAATAAATTCCAGTGATGTGTAGTTACTTTAATAATGTACATCCTCAGCAGGGCTGGTTTTCTCTATCTGTTTTTAGTAATGTTGCTTTTATTCTGGCTTGCTTTAAAATGTGCCTATTTATAACATCATCAGAAACATGTCTAAACACCAATAAAAATAACACAGGATCAAATTATACTTTACCATTGTGTTGTTTGCTTCGAGGAGGTTGAAATGTTGCACGCTGCTTTTCGGAAAGAACTGGAGAAAGCAAAGTTGTGTGTTCAGCAGCAAAGCCAAAGGCTGGATGCTTCCCAGAAAAGGATAGCTGAACTGGAATCTCAGCTTGCAAAAAAGGACCACCTCTTCCTGGAGCAAAAGAAATACCTGGAAGATGTTAAAATCCAAGCAAGGTAGGGGCTACCAATGTAATGTTTTAGCTGTGCTTTGACAGATGCAGTCACAGCTGAGGCAGCATCTGGAGATTTTGGACATTCTGGTTTCTCTCATTGCTCAGGGGTCAGCTGCAGGCAGTAGAAAGCAGGTACAAGGCCCAGAAGAGAATCACCCAGGCATTTGAGCTGGAGATCTTGGATCTGTTTGGGCGGCTGGAGAAGAACAGCCTACTGAAAAAACTTGAAGATGATAAAACAGAAGCAGCTGAAGCAGCAGAAGAAAGGTGAGGGTGGTGATGTGAAATCTGAAGGACCCATGTGGGATTTTGTCAGTTTTGGACTTAAAAGCAGTGTATGTTGCAAAGCTGAGTGTGTGACACATCTGGTTACCCCCGTCACTCCTGCTTTGCTCCAGAACTGTGAAAGGAAATCTGTTGAAATACATACCCAGAGGCAGAAAGGGAAAGGAATCAATGCCTTGGCCAGCATTTCCCTCTTCACTGTCTAATTGCTGTGATTTCCTTAACGCATGTCCTCTCTCTTCCCCAAGCAGGCTGGATTGTGGTAATGAAGATACAGCAGGACACAGTGAAGAAACACTGGGTAGAAATGGAGAGACCAAACCTCCCAGCACCCGAGGCAGCAGTAGCAGTAAAGGGAGCAGCAGCAACGAGCTCTCCACCTCAGAAAAGCCCCAGAACCAGAGGCTGAGCAGTCGCTGGGAGACATCCGTGTTGCTGGAGCCCTCAACTACTGTCCCACTGACTGTAGGTTCACTCCCCAGCTCCAAGAGCTTCCTTGGAATGAAGGCACGAGAATTATTTCGCAACAAGAGTGAGAGCCAGTGTGATGAGGAGGGGATCACCATCAACAGGCTGTCTGACACCCTAAAGACTGAACTATGTAAAGATCCAAGCATGGAGTCAAAGGCCCCTCCAAGCCCTGATAACCTCTCACCTAAGCTCCAGGAAAGCAGTGTTGGACAGCTTCATATCATGGACTACAATGAGACTCATCATGACCACAGTTAAAGAGGAAGATAGTCAATCAGTGTTATTTTCATATTCTTGGCATAGAACAGGAGGCGTGAGTGTGAGTTTAACTAAAAGCTTTTATGTTTCTTTGGTCTGAGTAGTGGTTCATGCAGCGGAGCAGGATCGATGGCCAGGAACGGAAGGAGGCTGCTGAATGAATGCAAAGTGGATTTTTGGGTCTGGAATTGAAAATGCCCAGCCTAACTCTTGCTTCTTTCTCAAATTCAATCCTTAGTAGCGTGTACTAATTTGAACGGACAACTGTTAGCATTTGCAAGTATTTTTTCCCTTTCTCCCTGTCCCCAGTTGAGTGGCTGCATTTATGAACTTGAGTGCAATATGAGGCCAAATTAACATTTGTGAGTTTACTCTGAACGCTTTGTATTTCTTTGCAAGCTTCCCATTTAAAGCAGTTGGTTGTACTGCCTGTCCAGGTGACTTCGGTTCCTTTCATCCTGGAAAGAAGCAGCACTAGGATTTCCAGTGCATTCTCTATTTTTGCCTGTCCACTGTCCCATATCCCTCAGAGCCCAGCCTTCATTAAGTTGGAATCTGATTGAATACCCAAGTGTTTAAAGAACATTGTACCTCTGCAAAATGATTCATTCACCCCAATTCATGATCATTGTTTATATTGTCCTTAACATTTCCTGGGAAGTTACATTTGAACAGACAAAAAGGAACTGGAGCTTGTAATGCAGAAGAGACCATAAATGCTGAAGACTTGTTAAAACACCAGCTTCAGATCTTCTTGGTGTTTGAAGTGTTTGCCTGACAGACTGTGATTAACCTCACACTGGTTCATATGGGAAAGCAGTTGGGGTGGGAGAAGAGGGAAGAAGAAGCTTTACTCAAGTAGGGAGAGGATGCAGAACATGGAGATAGAATTCCAAGCTTATGAAGAACTGCAGAGGAGGATTTGCTTCTCTAATCAGGGAAATGTGCTGCCTCACCCTCCTTCATAGTTCTGCTCTTTGGTCCTGGTCTAAGCAGGACCACCATGTTTTGAGTCCAAGAAATTGGATTTGTTCTTCCTGGGAATGCCTTTTCAGGTTGGCTTGGAGAACACGGTTTCCTTTGAGTGCCCTCCTACTCAGATTGCAGCACGTTTTTGAGTTCAGCAGTGTCAGTTTGACTCTAGGTCAAAGGGTCTCCCCTTCACCCTCATCCTACTTCCTTAAATGATAAGGCTGAGGAGGAGTCCTGCTTACACTGAAATCAGAATCCTGGCATGAAGCCTTTCTGTGTTAATCACGTTTTAAGTCAATTGTGAGCCTTCTGTGAAGGAGGATTGTGTGATCAGGGCTTGTCAGTGGCAGACTCAATCTCCTTCGTGACAGAACAGGGCCTGCTGTTAGGAAGGCAGCGCTTGTTTTAAATGTCCCACGTGGCTGGGTCCAGGTGTACTCAGACGGTTCAGGCTTCACACTTCCCTTGCATCACACGTGGCCTCTTCTAAACATTCTGTGGGTGGCAGCTGCTGTTTAAGAACCACCTCACATAGAAATCAAGTCCAAGCACACTTGCATTTGTAGTTCACATCCCTTTTTAGCCCGGGTGGGAACGAGGCTGTCGGAGCAGTTGGAGCTCAGCTCATTCCTGGCAGGACTCATCCTCCCATTCCCGCCTCCTCCGTAACTCCAAGGTCTGAATACATTTCTGTCTGTCTTAAATTATTCTCCGTGTCCTTTCAGTTGGTCAGTCCAAACTCTGAGAGTAGAGGTGAACTTCAGTGGTTGTGTCAAAGCTGACTCTGCATGGAGTAGAGAGTAGAGAGTTGGTTGTAAGTGACAGCCTGGTTTTGTCGGCGTCTTTAGGCTTTCTCAGACGTAGTGGTAGCAAACGTGGTAGCACATGTTTCAGTAAGATTTGGAGGTTTCCTGCCCCTTTCCCACTGGATGCCAGCCCAGGGAGTGAACAGTTTGCACACAAAGGGCCTGATGGGCCAGCTCAGCTGGGAATATTGGAGGAGCTCATTCCCATCCTGCTCTGCTGAACCCGGATCTGGTGTTCCCAGGAAAGGCAGGTTTTGTGTCAGTCACAGAAATGCCCTGGCAGCAACGCAAGCTCTTTGATAAAGTGGCTTTTTTTTCTTCTTTTAAACAAGATTTTAACACCAGGATAGTAATGGAAACCACTTTAGGTTTGTTTATGGACCACAAAGATTATGGAGGAACAAATTTTGCAATTTTCTTTCCTAAGTCTAAAAATCATGGATCTGCTGTATGTAGTTAACTTGCAGTTTGTTTGAAGGGGTCCCATCAATGAAGTGGAAACAGATTTTTTTAACTGACTGCTTTTAGTTAAATCTAAAATTGCTGTCTTTGTCAAGTTAATCTGTTCCCTGCCTCGCTCTTTGTAAGCATGTTAAACAATCCACATTAAATGCCATAAATATGAAATATGAGGAAATGGTACAATCGTAAGCTAAAGAGAACTTAAACCAAAAGGAGGTTTTGCTGTCCTTATTAGAATGTTCTAAAATGTCAAGGCAGTTGCTTGTGTTTAACTGTGAACAAATAAAATGTATTGTTTTGCACTACTCTGTGTTAAATTCCCTGCCAGACCTCTTTGGGACCAAACACATGGAAGGGAGTTCAGTGTCCAAACACCTTTCCAGATGGGACAGTCCAGAGCAGGTCAGTGCTGCTGCCCCTTTGCACAGGACTCACCATTAGAAGCTCATTTTTCTGCATGGAGCCAAAGCCTTTTTTTTATTCTTTGACAAACAAACTCACCAACAAAGTGCCAGTATAATCCATAAATGAGCTGCAAACAGTTCAGTGCTGCAAATCTGTGGGTGAGCTTCTGCATGTCCTTGCTCCTGCAGGCCAGGAGTGCACAGTGATTAGAGAAATTAATAGCTGGAAATGTCAGAGCCTTATTTGCAAAGCTGAGGATGCTGTCAGGAGTTGGCTCTGTCTGTGCTTTTCCCTTCCATACAGTGCATACATGAGGACACTGTCTCAGACAACAAGGAATTTTGGGGCCACTTTGTTCTAAGCTAACCTGGTGAGTGAGGTAACATTCTCTTGTTTTGCTTTTTCCCCAGACTGGCACTTTCTCACTGGTTCTGGTCTTTCATTGGTTTTTATTTGTTTGCAGGGGTTTTTTTTGTTTTTTTCCTCTTCTTGAAATAAATGAATGTTTGAAAGATTGCTCAAAGCAGTTTATTAATCCATACATGAGCCTCAGCATTCCAGTTAAGGACTGAGTATAATTCTTAAATACGAGCAACTCAGGCAAGGGTCTAAGTTGTGCAAGTGATACATTATGAACATGCTTTGGCCAAGTCATGTTTATGGAGAATTTTATAGAGAAAATACCATAAGCAGCATCTTGGAGTTCAGTGACACAGAAAGTTGTTTGAACCCCTGCACTGGAACCAGTTCTACAGCATGGGGTAGTAAAATGAAAACAAAGCACAAAGTGAATTTAACTTGCTCATCCACAGAATGGGTTCAAAATAAGGCATCCTTAGGCTTGGCATTGCAAAGCTGCACTGGCCAGTGTAAAAAAATCTTTAGATTAAAATTACCCACAGAAGTGTATTACTGAGGTACAAAAAGAGAAAAATTAAGTGCCTTCCTTCCTAATGGCAACTAGTACACTTGTTAGTTCATAACATAACTGATAGTCACACAGGAGACATTAGGGAAGGAAATACTTCAAATTCAGGAAATTAAAATATCTTTGCTGATTGATCCTGATCTGTTGGAAGTACTTAGCTGCTGGCACAATGGTGAGTTTTAAAAGTGGTTACAAAATAGGAAATTGCAGGAGTTGAGTCACTTCATCCGTTCGTATTCAGGCGCTCTGCAAAGGAAGCCTGGTTCCATTCTCATGGGCTTTGCTTTCCAGACAGAACTGTTCCAAAGAGTTGACTTAACAATCATCATGATTTTGGTGTCTGTGGGCTTTACTTGGCTGACCCGTTTTTTCCTGAAGGTCTTTTCAGTCCAGTTTTGGGCTGGCTGATCTTTCCTTTCTGACAGATGCTATTCCTGGTTCCTGCAAAGCTGCTCCTGCTTGCTGTGCTCCATGCTCAGTTGACTGAAAGCTCAAATTGGTGCTGCACCACCACCAGGGGAATTCAGGACTCCCAGGAAAACCTCTCCTGTCTCGAGGTGTTTATGATGTGGGGAGCTGAGGAACAGGGTGGTGGTGACAGGGAACAGATGGCTCTTCTGAAATTACAGCTCTGGGGATGGGAGCGAGCAGCCCCAGCTGCCCTGGGCTGTATCCCAGGGGCTGGATACCTGTAACCAGTGTTAAAAAGGCCCTGTAGATTCAGGACTGGGGGACAGAGATGTTGGAACTGTTTAAAAGTTGCTGGTGAGAAGTTTGGACGCTGCTATGAGGCGGCCGCTAGAGGCCCTGCCAAGCCCATCCTGTCGCTCTGCATCAGCTTCCACGGAATCTCTGGGATGCTGAGTTTCCATTCAGCCTTGAATTGTCCCTTCTGGTTTCTTTCCAGAGCCCACCACCATTCCTGACACTTCATCTTAACTCCTGGGGGGCTGAGCTATGTCCTGTCCTCTCGGTGAGTGAGAGGCTGGAATCACAGATTGAACATACAGAATAGTTTATCACACAGTGGTTTATCACAGAATAGTTTGGGTTGGAAGGTACCTTTAAAGCTCATCCAGTCCTACCCCCTGCCATGAGTGGGGACACCTTCAATTACATCAGGTCCCTCAGTTTGACAAAAGCCTGGTTTGTCCCTTAGCTGAATCAAGGGAGCACAGAGGTAATTCATACAAATGCCAGGATTCTGTTGATATCATCAACCCACATCTCTATTTCAGCCTTTGAACAAAAATGCAGCATTTATTTCCAGGACTGACAGATCTGTAGGAAAGTCAGGCTGGTGCCCTGCCTGGTTTCTCAGTGTGTATCTTGCAATTTTATGCTCACTGAGGCTGAAGTAAAACTTTATTGCACTTTTGTGTTTGGCATTTACATCCTGTTTATGTAAATTCTTCAAACAGCTTGATTTGTAGTAGAGGAAAACAATTCTTGCTGTATCTTTTTGTCTTTTGAAGTGTCCATCCACTCTGGAAGAGGAGAACTTGTATGGAAATTAAGTAATTTGTCTGGATGTTTTTATGAGACTTAACTTTGCAGTCTTCCAACAGATTCTGGTCTTGTCATTATCAAACCTCAGACTGCAAGTTTCATGCAGTCATTTTTCTGCTCAGGTCTTAAGATATTGGCTGCATGACACTGAAAGGATAGGGCTAGGCTAGAAATTATTACTAAGATTTGGGAACTGTTTCTTGTGTGTATGAATCTTATTATTAAAATTTGGCAACTTTTTTTGTGTGTATCACCTTGGTCAAGTGCAAAATGACAACTGCACTGGAGTTTTGAGCAGCAGTGGTGGACTGGCTGTGGTAGGACTGGTCTGACAAACCATTTGTGCTGTGCTCATTTCCAGAAGCTGAAAGTGAGCCACAAACTGGAGCTTAATAATAATTCTGGCTTCCTCACAGCCTGTGGGTTTAAATTTAAACCATAGGACAGGGCCAAGAAGGTTGGAAACAAGATCTGGGACTAGCATCTCTTGTGTCCCCACCACTTGTCATCATTCAGTCCTTGCAGCTTGTCCTGAACAGCTTTCCAAGACAGCAATTGTAACAGGACACTTGTCTGCACAACGGGGCAGCTGCCACAATTTGGATTTTTCATCCTGAAGCTGCCTCTGCACCAGGGATCTCAAGTGAAGCCAGAGAGGGTGACAGTGACATTCCACTGGCCGAGGCCCCAGTAGTGCCTGGGAGTTGCTCTGTGACCCTCTGTTACGATTTTGAGTTCACCAAGGTTCAGTTCAGTTGGATCAAATCTCCCTAAAAATAGGGCTCTACTCCAAACTGGGTGGGTGCATTGCAGTGCAAGTGGTTAGGGGAAAGGAGTGCAAAGCAATGTGGGGTTATGTGAGGAATAAAAATGCTCCTGAAAATACTTTCCATCTCATCTGAGCTGTCATTCCTTCCTCTGGCCCTTCCTCTGTATTAATTCTCCCTTCTGTTTTTAGCTGCTTGTTACAAAAAACTGGTGAATTTAAGACAAAAGCTTTCTCACAGAAAACTGGGCCTGGTATGCAAGGGGAAATTGTTTATTCAGGATTGTCTTCAGCAGGAAGCAAAGAGCAGGAGGTAATTTGCTGTGGAAGGGAAAAAGAGCACTCAGACACAGGGAGGACACTTGCTTGGGAAGGGCTGTAGGATCTGACCATGTGCTGACCTCATGCTCCATATTTTGAGCCCAAGGGCCATCATGTCCCCTTAGCTGGGACATCTGGCCTAACCTAATGCTAACCTTGCCTTGAAACAGGGAAAGCACAAGCACTTTAATCTGCAATTTGAACGGGAACCATCTGAACATGATGCTCCCACCACATCCCCATGAATCATATGGCCTGGAAATGGCTTTCATTTGGTAGAGGTCTGAGGAAGACAGGGGTGTTTTCTCCACCTTTGGCTATTGTCAGTACACAAAAACTACGTGCAAAATAAACTCCGTTCTCCTTTACATCTCCAGCTCTGACAGAACAGCAGTCAAGCAGGTGTGAGGGGAGATGTTCTATGGCATGAAGAGCTGCTGGAGGCTGCAGCAGAGCACAGCTGAAGAACACTGGTCTCTGTAGTCAGTGGAAGGTATAGGAGACCCCTTAGTGTCCTGTAAACAGAGATCCTTTGGTCCAGCTAGCGAAATCATTTCTGTGTGGGTGAGGGAATTTTAGAGAGAAGCGTAAACGTCCAACACCTGTCCGAATTCATAATGCCAGGCCTTTGCTGCTCTGCATCATATCCTTCAGCCAGGCAGCTTCTTCACCCCGTTGGCTGTGCCAGGGAGGGGATGTTCATTAGAGAGAAGGCTGAGAAAATGTCAAATCCTACTTCAAAAAACTTGTCCAAGATTCATGTCTGAGAGATTAGAGTCTGAGGAGTCCTGAGTGTTCCCTGCTCCCACGGCAGTGCTGGCCCCGGGGAGCAGCTGGAGCTGCAGCTGTGTCTGTGGGGATATGAGGAGCAGAGTGGAAACAGCAGCAAGGGACAGCCAATGCATCTGTGGCAGGCTGGCAGCAGGGAACTCTTCAGAAAGAGGATTCAGGACAGATCTCTAGTGTTCATTTCATTGTAATTATTCAGCCAGGAGGTTAAAGTTGGTGAGCAGACGATGCAGGAGCTTTGATCCTTTAATAGGGGTGTTTCCCTGGTGGCCTCCAGGGAACCTTTTTTTTTGGACGTTGATTTGCAGCCAGGTATTTCTGAAAATCTTTTTCCTGCAATTGTACAGTATTTTTGTTACTAATGGAGGTCTCAGTTGCAAAGTGCCCAGCAGGTGGTGTTTGGGAAGTGGACATCTCCTTCTTGGACGTGGCACATCCATGACTCACAATATAC